GCCTCATGCTGAAGTGAACAGCCATGATTAGAAATAACTTTCTCAGACAAAGACCGAGGTGTACCCAAAACAGCATACACTGACTTTTCTTCTCTCCCCCCCCCCCAAGGTTAGGACGGTGCCCAGCAGGCTGTGTGGCAACTGTGAGTTGACTGCGACACCCGGGACAAGTGTGCAAGGTCACCCAGGAGAGGGGCAAAGCTTTCCTTCCCGCACCCCAAACTCACCCAGGACACACAGAAGACTTGTGATCACCTGGGCCGAATAAGGTCTCAGTCCTTGGCTGATTTTCATCATCAGCTGACGTCTCAGTGATGTTGTTTGAATCAAACCGAGGGGGATAAAAGAGAGGCTTCCCAGGGAAGGAAAGTCACAGAGTGGTGTCTGTAGGGAGTGTGGGGGGGAAGGGTGACCAGCTTTGGAGGTTATTGCTATACCTGAATAAGGTGATATTAGATTACCTCAAAAAGGTTTAACAGAACCTTTGAACCTCAAATACAATATATCTCTGGGGGAAAAACCTTTCTACCTGCGCACTACAAAGACAGTGTTGTGTTTCTAGCACGAACGTGCTTCGGCCGAAACACTGCTCGGCTAAACGCTTGCAGAGACGGGGGGCAGGCTGAGCAGGAGAGAACAGTCCTAATAACGACACCCACGCACCTGCTTTATGAGCGGTTTATCATTCCTCCAAAAAGCTGGCTAGCACTGGGAGTAGAGATAAGGAAAAACTATAAGAGTCTGGCTTAAAAAAAATCTGTGGCTTTTTGTTACCGGGTGTGCTGTGTAGCCTAATGACATTTAAGCAATCTGAAATGTACCAGTCCAATCAAGGACTGCTAACGAGATCAATCAGTTCTCACTAGAAAGCACTGCTGAGAGTCACGGGAGGCGTGTAAGCAAGCCGTGTTTTCAACGTGAAATAGCCAACACAGCCCTGAAACAGAAAAGGGAACTGAGCGAACTATAACATTTTACAAAGGTCCAGAAATATAATTACTCAACAGCACATGACTGCAAACTCCACGAGCAACCGTGTATTTTTTTTCCTACAAAATGAATTATTAAAAGGGGTCATGTGGTTGTAAGCAAGCAGATGCACTTTCCCAAGGAAAGTTCATCATTAAATATATTATTTAAGACTGGATCATCTTCGGGCTATTTTTAATCTTATCATTTTGCTGCCAAAATTGGCCATTAGCCGCCGATACTCAGCCCCTGGAAAAATGACGCTGTTTTGTGTGTTTTGCACACAGGCATGGGAACAGTATTGCTTTCCAGCTACTCAGATGTTTTGGTAGAACTGGACTAGATGTAGAAAAGAGAAATTGCTTGTTGACCAGCTAATAAAAAGGAAGCTACCTTGATGAGATGTGGAGAAGTAAGTTTCTGTCTTCCTAAACCACAAAGACCAGAAGACCAGAAGACCACTTCCCCTGGCCCCCGCCAGAAAAAAAGGTGCACTACCATCTCACCGGCAGAACGAAGCCAGCCAGCCTGCCTGACTTCTGGTTCGCTCAGCAGTCCCCACCTCACTCTCTTCTAAAACATGAAAGTAAATATCACGTTTCTCAGTTTGGAGGCTGCTATCAATTTTCACTCACCATCAGCTTGCCCGGGTCTCAGCCCTTTGCTCGCCGGAGCCCCTCATTCTTGAAGCAGCACTGGGGCCACTAAACCCACCTACAGAATTTAAACTGTGTTACAAGGGGATAAAACACTAACTAACAAAGAGATGAAAAGAACTAAATCTCCTGCCTCTCACCAAAGCAGGAAAGCAATCTTACTTGAATGGGCGACGCCAATACAACCTGCGTAACTACCATCAAAAACAATGAGGGCGAGCCGGAGCTTATCATCATCATGGACCTCCCACCTCTTTCCTTCCAACTTATTTCCCTCCAGGGTTAATAATACTATGGACCCGTGAAGCCACTGCAGAGGGACCCTGGAAGATCCATCCTGGACCGTCCATCTTTATCAAAGAGGTCCCCAGGAAGAGTAGTAGACGGCACCTTTCTAATTTTAATGTACACACAAACTCCCGCACAGCGTGTGAACCACAGGCTCTGCCTCCGTAGCTCTGGGGCGGGAACTGAGATTCTGAATCTCTGAGACACTCCCAGGCGATGCCCATGCTGCTGAACCGTGAATTACACTTTGACCACCAGGGCTTAGACATTCCCTGGAACTCCTGCCATATGTCTGCTCCCTCCGCCCTGCCGCTCTCTTGATGCCACACAGTACCTTATTCAGAGTTAGGGATAAAGGCACATCCCACTCTACGCCCAACTTCTTTAGTCTTTATTTACTTTGTGGGATTCTGGGACCATCTCTCAAACGCCTCTCATTCCAAGGCCCTGCTTTCTCCATTCATTCCAAGGCCCTGCTTTCTCCAAGTTATGGAACGTGGAATGCCAAGAGTTTCCTCGGCCCCAAGAGCGCCTGATTTTGCATCAGCAGCAGCAAAGAAAGACTGTGACATCGAGTCTAAAGCTCCCACTAGTAGCTGTGCAGTAGACAAGTTGATCCACTGAGTCCCAGATCCAGCTCAAGTCGCTGCTGAATGTCAAAAGAATGTGCTAGCTCTCCTCTGAAAGTTTATTATTGTTATTAAGTGTGCTTTACACTGTACAATGCAACATGCTATTAGAGATGCAACCCCGACAGATGCAAACTTGGAGGAAAATATGTCTGTATGCCAGATGCCTAAAACAAAAATTTGGATTAGTGATGCACACTTGAAAGAATGGGTCCATCATTGCTACCACTTTTACTCCAAGATGTCCAAACTTTGACTGCATTTACTGATATATACTTTTTGCCAGATTTCCATTTTCCTACAGGGTCATTCATCTATATGTTGTTCTGAAAACTCCACGTTTTACCATCAGCCATTTGTACTTCTCTCTGATTTATTTTTTCTCTAATAGTTTTTGTCAAAAAATTTTTTATCATGTTCTATGGTATGTCGTTGTGGTTTGGCATCATGAGATGTAACCTCTGTGTTTATTAACCTCAGATACCTGTGGACCACAAAGATGGGCTCTACAACAAACACTCTATCTTGAAAGGAGGAAACATGAGCTTTTGCTTAAAAAGAACCCTCCATTGCATGAGATTACTACAACTCAACAACAAAGATCAAAGTTATATCTTCATTTCGGTCCTAAGCAAGTGCCTGTATCCCATCTTTTCATGAAGTTACTTGATAGATGACAGTTACCACCTTAGCTTTCTGTCAACTAGAAGGGCACTTTTTTAGATATTTTACATTTCATAAAAATATGATAGAGTAAAACTGTTCCATCAGTTTTCCTTTGGTCTTAAAATTACCATTTCGGAGTCTGCAAGTCCCTACCTCTTTGGCTATGGTGGTTAAAAATAAACCCACCTACTTAAGCAAACATTTAACAAAAATATTCTTTCTGCCCTTTGGTGAATTCTTCCAGAATTCCTAAAGATCTGAGGATATAGCATCTCAAAAAGAAAATGATTTACGAGGAGCATTAGAAACTAGAGATTTAAATGCAGGGGGTATTTTAGTCAACTTCACTTTTAAACGTTAAAGAGTAGCATGAACACTTTGTCAGCTTTGGTCAAGGAGGATCAGACAGTCAATGTCAACCCTATACTTTCCTTGGCCTTTTCTCTTTGTGGCCCCTTAACATCAACACACTTTGTAAACTGTAGTAAAATATGGAACATGCTTCTTGAGACTGAATCCACTGGTAAAATCATTTCTAGGCTTTTTGCTCCTGTAAGGTCCTATACAATAATTACATTAGTAATTCTCCCTAGAGACCATGAAAAGGAGCACTGAACCGATTCCTTTTTCAAAAGGAATTCTGTAGCTTAAAACAAAAAGTCCAGAAAAATTCAGACAAGAATTATTCCTCTTGTACTCTTTCATTAATTAGCAATTTTAGATATAAGGGATAGGTCTCGATTATAATTCTTCTCGCCCAGAGGACCACACAGAGACACAAAGGCCTTTAGGGTAGCAGACAGAAGCTCTACCGAACACACGCCCAGAAAAAAATCATCTTGCAGATGCTCCTCAAAACTACGGACATCAATCACTCTAGCTAAAGGTAGGGCACCAGGGAATTCACAGCTAAGGAGCAGTTCTTCCGTGCTTCTTGCAGGGGCTGAAGGCGCAAGTCTGCTCAGAACAGGAACCAGATGATGTGGGTTCTAGGGGGGTGAGAACTCAAAGATACTACAATTCCAGTGAACTTGAAGACCGTACACCAGTTATAGAAACGGAACATGAAGTTCGCAGCCAATGCAAATCCTGTGACCGATGAGACAGACTAAAGCATCCGCAGCTGAATGTCCTTCACAGTCAGTTGGCCACGCCCACTGGGAATGTGGCGCGCCCTGCAGGCTGGGGACCCTGGGCTCTTGGAAAGTGGACTCACCTCTTCAAAAACAGAGCTACACCTTCCAGGGACAGGGGTCACCTCGGCTGTCCTCTTGGGGTAGATTCCACCAAATGAGTCAGAAAAAGCTTGCCCCTGGGTCCTTGGACGCAGTCTGTTCTTCTAACTGGGTGCTTCTCAAATTTTAGTACCAAGAAGAAACCCCCAGGGGAGTTTTGCGTAGGATGCGGATTGCCAGGACCCAACCAGGTTCTCCCATTTCAACAAGCTACACAGGCCAGCGAACCGTGGTGGTGGGGATCCTTGGCCCCCCGCGTTTGAGGGAACCCTGGAAGGGTACCATTTATCCCAACATCTTACTGGATAGCAAATGCTGGATCTTTGAACCTCAACAGCTGGCAAGCAAGGAAAACACTTTGGGTGGCAAGGAACGATCACAGTAGGGTTGGCAGGACGAGTTTCGTCCAAGGGAAGAGGAGGGAAGCAACAAGCCCGAGGTCCCTTCCCCGGCTCATGAGCCGGTCCTTGGCCGCGGAGCCCACCCACACTCCAGCCACCGTGCCTCAGACCTGAGACGTCCATCCCAGACTCACATTCCACCAGACATGCACCTACCCAGCCTCCGTTATCCTGGATCCAGGTGTGCAGGTGCCGGTTCAGGTATTCCGTCATCCACAGGGCGATGTTGTCCACCAGGGGCGACATCTCCCGGTTGACGCTCTCCACACACATGACCCCACCGAATTCAAAGAAGGCCACAATCCTCCCCCAGTTCACCCCATCCCTGAAGAGCTCCTCCACCACCGTGGCAAAGCGTCCCCTCGCGGTGAAGGGCGTCAGGTGCAGCTGGCTGGACATCTCGGCGAAGTCCCGGCGGTAGCGACGGGAGAAGTCGTCGCCGGCCTGGCGCAGGGTCAGGTGGACCACGGGTGGCACGGGGCTGAGCGCAGGCCCCGCGGCGGCGGGGGCGGCGGGGGGCGGCGGCGAGGTCCTGGCGGGCGTGGGGGTGCGCCCCGGCTGGGAGGAGAAGATGCCCGGCGCGGGGGTGGCCCCCGGGGCTGTGGCGCTCGCGTCTCCGGCATCCCACTCGTAGCCCCTCTGCGACAGCTTATAGTGGATGTATTTCATCACTATCTCCCGGTTATCATACCCTGTTCTCCCGGCGTGCGCCATCCTGTCCCCGAGGAAAAGCCGAGGAAAAGCAGCCGGGCGCCGACAAGCACCTCTCGCCCCCGCTCCCGCCCCACGGCCCCGAAAGAACGAAGAATAGTTATAATCCAGCGATTTTATTGGATGTGCTTTGCATTCTTGGATGAGGGGGTGTCTTCAGTCACGCGGAACACTTGATTCTGGTGTTTCCCTTTTGGCATGAGATGCAGGAAATTTTTATTTCAATTCCTTTCGGACCTTTATTTCATGAGGCACATTGTTATTAATTATTGTCAATATGAGCTTACTTCCTCTACGACCCTGAAAGGTTAGGGAGGGAAAAAAAAAAACACCGATAAGTCAAAATCAGGTGCATCTTCCTTTACATTCTGGGTGAAAGCAGACATACACACTACAATCACACGGCTAAAAATCCTGTCTTAAACTGCCTGGAAATCAAACTTACTGGAATGCACTTAAAGTTAAAATCCCAAATGTTTCTATTAAAAGTTACATTAAACCAATTTCCTGTGCAAGGAACTTACTTGTATTTTTTAAGGGCAGCATGATCCTCTGTCAAGGTTCCCTTTTTGTGAAAACAAAACGAACGCGTAAGGCAAAGACCCCCTCGATCTTCGGAAGTCCCTGGTGAGAGCCGCTGCGAAACTTCCAAATGAATCAGGAGTTGGGGGCGCGTGGGGAGCGGTAGAAACGAGAACTGGCCGATGGATGCCGAGACTTCTCCTTCACAGAAATGTCAGTCCGCAGGAATCCCAGCCGGAGAGCTCACGAGCACGAGAGAGAAAAAAAAAAGGTGGGGGGCAGCGGTGGCGGCAGATGAATTACAATGTTCAGTCCAGTATTTGCATAAGTCCTGTGATTTCCCCCCTCTCGGCAATTTACACGCGCGCGCACACGCGCGGGCACAGACATGGACCCCTATCCGCGGGACCGCTTCACGCCTCCCCGGGGGAGAGACAGGGACCGGCGGCCGGGCACTGGGGCAGGAATCCTCTTCTGATTAAACTCCGAACGGCCAATGCGTTTTCCGAAAAGCTGTTGATAAATGAAGGCAGGACGCGCCCGGCCCGCCGGTGCAGAGCCGAGGAGCCCGCGCTGTGTGTGGTGCGGCGAGGGGTGGGGAGGAGGTGGTGGGGGAGGGTTTTATTTTTTCCCTCTTTTCCTAAAAAGGATGACTGCTACGAAGTTCTCCCCCCTGGACCCCCTCTTCCGCTGCACCCCACCGGCGCACCCCGCCTCCGGGCTGCGCACCCTTTCTCCTCCTCCTGCTCCTGCGCGGCGTTGCTGGCGGCGGCCGCCTCCCCGCGCTCCCGCCGCGCACCCGCTCCGGGCGATGACGGCCGCGCCGGCTGGGAGGGCCCGGCGCTCGGCACCTTCGCAACAGCGGCGGCGGCGGCTGCTCCGCGGGGAAACCGAGAGCGGCGGGCCAGCGGGCGGGCCAGCGGGCGCGCGTCGGGCGGGGGAGGGGGCGGAGAGGAAGGGGGCGGGCGCGGGGCGGGGGGGCCTGGCCTCTTACTTCATTCTCCGCTCGAACCGACTGGTTTCCTGTACGTACGTCACACGGTTCATTCAAAAAAAGAAGAAAGAAAGAGCCCTCCTCTGAGCCGCTCCGCCGCCCCCTCCGCCCCACTCCCTTTCCCGGGTTAAAGGAACCGCGGCCGGGCAGGGAGCGGCGCGCTTCGCCGGGGACACATGGCGCGCAGGGCCGAGCCGGGGAGGGCGCGCCTGGGACGGCCCCCGCCCGCCCTCTGGGCCCGCTCCTCCCGCTCCGCCCGGCCGGTGGGTGGCGCGGGCGGCGCAGGCCTCCTGCGCGGCCGCGGCGCGGTGGGTGTGCGAGGGGCCTCCTCGGGCCTGCGGCGCGCTCGGGGCCCGCCAGGGGCCGGGGCGCCCGGGGAACGGCACGCAGCCGGGCTGGCGGCGGCTGGGTGGGCCAAGAAATCGAGCGCAGAAAATCGCTGCGACTCTTCCTAGCTGTGTGAATGGCGTGTGTGTGTGTGTGTGTGTGTGTACACTGTGTACACCCATCATGTTCCCAGCGCGCGGCCGCCGAGGCCGATCTGAGCCCGAGACCAGGGACCTCAGCGCTGCCCTCCCGTGAAGAGAACACATTCCTTACGCTGCACATTCGTTAGGGAGGGAAGCTCCGAGCGTCTTGTTTACTTTCAAGTTGCTTCCTAGGTGTCCACGCGGAACACGCTCTCTGGAGACACCATCCAAGACCAAGGCCAGACAGGACTCTCAGCCGGCGGAGGGGCCAGTGGAAGATACAGGGGCTTTGAAATGGTTCTGTAGCTGCATTTTCTCTGCTCCTGAGAATTTTGGCCTTGGGTTAGGGCCAGGCTCGGACAAGGTCTACATGGTAACTTTCAGGCCCACTGTCCCAGCGCCCGAGTGGGTGGGTTTCTAAAGGCCCCCACGGTCGCCTAGCAGCCAATCCCAGATGGCCACACCTTCTCAAGTTAGCGACACACACACACACACATATAGTACACATAGTATGTGCATACAAGCACACACGTGTTTAAGCACACACAGCATGAACAGTCCTTCGGAGAAAAGCCGGAGACTGCAATCAAGTTGCACGTGCTTGACTATTTTTATCTCCAAGAGTCTTTGACAAATAAAGCCCAGAGGGGAAAAAATGTTTACTGAAAGCGCAGCAGCTCCCTGAGTAGGTCTGGAGGACAAACACACGGGGCTGCTGGATCGCGGTCCCGGAACCGTGGCAGGCAAGCGCTGCAATTCGTGTGAATGTGCTCAGACGCTCTCTTTCTCTTGTCTCGTTACCCGCCTAAAATCAAAGCACTTATTCCTAAGCACAAGAAGCGCAGCAGATTATGTTCCTTGTTGTACATCATCCCAGTCAGCCCACCTGCCAGCCTCTTGCATGTGGGAATGAGTGCCTGGTCCAAACTTCGGGTCCAGGTGAGAAGGAATGAAGGTGCTCTGCCCTGTCTTCCGGTCACAGGGACAGAGTTCCCTAGTACCTGTGGCAGTGACGGGGAGCTGTTCTGGCCTGGAGTTGAGCACTGGGTATAGACTGACCCGAGGTACACGTTCCCACAGAATTGGTAGGAACCCACCCCATGCCACAGCATTCTGGGGATCTTCTCAGAACCTTGTCCGAAACCTCCTCAATGACTTAAGAGGAATCGAAAGGCTTAGTGCTTCCGAGACCCGGCCTGTGAGTGAGAGAGGACAGAGCTGGAAAAGAGACTGTACTTCTGCACAGGGGCAGCCAGCACAAAGCAGAAGCCCATTCCCAGAGAAAGACTGGCTTCCCTATTCTTCCCCTCCTTCGCAGATGGCCCCAGACTGATTCCTTAGGTGGCACATTGACCATCATTGAACACTCTCAGGACAGGTCTTCACGACCGTCCTGAACTGAGGGTTACATTCCCTGGGACTTTGAATGGCAACAGTGAATGGAATCCTTCTTCCATTTGGATTCCGCCTTTATTAGACTCCACGTTGAACAATGAGATCGAGCATCCCTCAGAAGGGTGTGCATCAGCTCTTTGTCTCGGAGCAGTGGTGAGGTGGCAGGGGGAGCTCTGGCCCGCCTCAGGAGCCCTGGGTTTGAATCTCAGGTCTGCGAGGGACGCCTTCCAGCAACCGCCCCAATGTGCGCCCCATGGACTCTTCATTTCTCAAGATGTCTTCCACTGTTCGGAGCCGACAGACCAGCCCTCTGCCAGCGCTGCCAGGCCGGATTCGAGGAGGAGGGCCGCACCAGCGAGGAAAGAACAAGACGCAGGGAGTGGAGACTGAATCCAGAGTCTGAAAGGCCTGTGTTTTCCTTTTTTCTCCAGTCTGCCAAACAAAAAGCTTTTTATTGCCAGTTTTCGCCACCTACTGGTTGATGTGTAATGGCATCATTCAGAAAGCTCTTTATCCATCACCACTGTTAAGTATTTCCCAAGTTTATGAAATTCAAAAAGAACATTATTGTGATCTGGACACACTATACTAATGTTTAATATAGGTATGCATAGAATCTTCCCAGCTATTAAGCTTTCTATTTAAAATGAGGATAGGCCTCTTTGGGAGAGAATGGACAACTAATAAGTAAGATGAAAGAGTTAAAAATATAAAACATGACCCCAGACCATTAAGGCAAATTGAAGTGAAGATAAATCCATACACAAAACAAATGGACTAGAAAGAATAAAATCAAGGAGTCCATACAGTCTTCACAAAAGATAAAACAAACCGTTTTAAAAATAACATTTCACGGTCCCAGATAAACAATCCAAAATGCTAATTTCCAGTTTCAAGTATCTTCCAAATCACTGTTTCTGGCTTTATTGAGATATAGTTGCCACGAGTATCTTATACATTATAAACTCTTTTATAAAAAGATTTTATGTATTTATTTGCAGGGGGAAGGGAGGGAGGGAAACAGATCTGTCACCCCTTGTACGCATGCTGAGGACTGAACCTGCGACCCCAACACATACCCTGTCCTGGCATTGAACAGACCTCCCCCTTTTGGGGACAGTGCCCCACGGAGCCACACCAGTCAGGGCTACATGGTAACCTCAAATGCTCAGTGCCACACTCTTTCAAATGGTTTGTATACTTGGTTGGCCGACATGTAATAATGTTACTGATCAGTTACAAATACAGGATCCGGCAGAAGGCAGGCTTGCTTGAGTGTGGTTGGTAGGGTAGTAATATGGGTGTAATAATTTATACTTTTAATTTGAACATTTCACCTAAAGCATCATATGGTGTGCTTGAGTGTGGTGGTGTTATGTTACAGAATTACATGATTATGATTTTGGAAAAGGTTTTGTAATAAAAAAAAGGGGGGGTGTTATTTGTGCCGGACCCTGGATTAATACCAGGAGTAATCCTGTTCCGGATCACCGGTGCTCCAGAGTCTCTCTTCTACCCTGAGAGCGATTCCATCTACGTCGTCTGCTATCTGTCCTCTCAAACTATCATTATCATCATCAGAAAACTCTGGCTGAATCTGTGTTTCTTGGTTAAACCAAGGCTTGTTGGTCCTAAAGCTCAAAAAAAAACGTTTAGACCAGTTAAGCAACAACCTTTGAAACTAGGCAATGAACAGCAGATCAATCATTCTTTGTGTGACTTTAATAGCAGGCCAGTAATGTTTACTTTTGGTTTACAAAGGAACGCGCCGGAAATTCACTTGTGGTCATTTTTTCCTTCCAAATTAGTGACTTTGCTTTTAAAGGGAAATAAAAGGAGAAACTTGTATTTTTCAAAGGCCTGCTGCTCTCCCCAGACTGAAACTGCACTAACAGTACCAAACAACAAGAAACACCATGGTACTGAGGGGGTTAACAGGCAAAGAATTGACATTCTTAATGTGCCAAACTTGCTGTAACTTTTAGTCTCTCGTGCTAGTTAGCACTGAGCACATTCCTCCCAGATACTAATTCCTGATCAATCCATGTAGAAAATTCTCAGGTTTGATTCCTAGGGCCGGCATGATAGAATACCCCAAACGGGGAGGGCTTACAACAGGAATACATCATCCCCAAGTTCTGGAGCTTGCACCCCAAAATCAAGGAATCAGCAGGGCAGTGCTGCCTTCGAAGGCTCCAGGTGGGAAAAGCCTTCCTTGCCTGCTCCAGCTTCTGGTGGTGGCTGGCAGTCCTCGGCTTGTAGCTGCATCCCTCCTGTCTCTGCCTTTCATCATACGGTGTTCTGCCTGTGTGTGCGTTTTCTCCTATTGCACAGTCACCAGTTATACTAGATTAGGACTCTAATAAACTCATCTTAATGCGATCATTTCTGTGAAGACTCTATTTCCAAATAAGACCATATTTGCAGGTACTTGGGGTTAAGACACCAACATGTTTAGAGGGCACAAAACTATACCCATACTATGCACCCAGTAAGGTGTCTTTCACATGAATGAGGATGGTTTATTTCAAGGCCCTTGGACTCAGCAGCCCCTGCATTTCAAGGGGAACCAGGATGTTTCTGAGGGTCAAAACCAGCCTCATTTCTGCTCGAAGTTTTTCAGAGGCTAAAAATCTCAACCCTTTGGCACAGCATGGCATGGCCCAAGCCCACCACCTGGGTGTCCTTCCACTTCCTTCTTGCAGCTGGACCACCTCTGTGTGCCTTCTGGAACACGCCAAGATCTCTCACGTCTTCTGAATCTGCACACCTGCTCATCTCCCTGAAATGCACGCCACCTACTCCGGGCAAACGCATCCTCATCCCTGAGGCTTCCTCTCCCCTGTGAGACTGTCCCTGACTTTCCCCGGCAGTCCTAGGATTCCACTTGGGCTGTGAGAAGAGGCTTAGTCAGGCTGGGAGCTTAGTAGTCACAACAGGGACCTGAACCCTCACTCTGTGGCTTAGTCCATGCGACCTTGGCTGAGTTCCTGTGCCCTCCTTTATAACACGGGGAATGAGATGGTACTACAGTAGCCCCCCCCCCAACATTCTCAGTTTCACTTTACCCAGTCAACTGAGGTTCAAAAATATTAAATGGAAAATTCCACAAATAAACTATTCCTAAGTCTTAAATTGCGCATTTGGGTATCATGATGAAATCTCTTGCCACCCCGCTCTGTCCCGCCTGGGAGGTGAATCACCCCTTTGTCCACACTGGTGACGCTCCCACCCATTCAGTCGCTCAGTAGCTGTCTGTCACCAGACCCACAGTCCTGGTGTCTCAGTGCTGGTGTTCAGGTCACCCTAATTCTACTGCATGACGCCACCCTCACACAACTTTTATAGCAGCATATTGTTCATTGTTCTATTTTATTGCTAGCTGTGGTTAATCTCTGGCTGGGGCTTTCTAATTTCAGCTTGACAGTACGGTATAGGAAAACCACAGTACGCTAGGGCGTGGTACTACCTGCAGTCTCAGGCATGCACTGAGGGTCTTGGAACATATCTTCCATGAATAAGGGGGGGGGCTACGTGCTCAGAAGGTTAGAGCCTGATGTACATGAGCTCGCCGTAAAGCACTCACAACAGTGGCTGGCACTGGTTATGTTTTGCATCCTCACAGCTAATATCGGATCCACAGTGTTAATTTCTGGCATTCTTCTAGATTACAAACTATTGGGGAGCAGGCACTGTATTTTTCCTCTGAGCATTCCAAGCCTAGAATAGTGCCTGGCATTCAAATATTTGTGGCATAAAATTCAGAGGCCCCAAGCCAACGAAAGGAATGGGGAGTGGTCCTTTCTTGGAGAAGACTTGAAAAGAGGGATGGAGGAGGGGGGAGGGAGCGAAGCAAGAACTGGAACTGCTACAGGAGGGACAAGTTGTTGATGCAGTTGGAGCTCAGGGCCTGGGGCTGGGGGACCGAGCTCATCATAGGGACTCAACAAATACACGCTGAATGAGAGAAAATGGAAGTTATACAGTCAGCAGTAGAACGGAATATTTTTTAAAGGTCCCAAAGTAAAAATTATAGAAGTGATACTGTATGCCAGTCACGCACATAAACTGCTCAAATGTAAAGGTGAAGTTTGCAAACCAAGATGTCCAAGAAATCTCTTCTCATCATGACCCAAACTTTTCTGCTGAAGGACTGAGAAAGATGGTATCTTTTACACATCAGTATTTTATACCCTCCAGTGTTGGAGATACTTTATTATTAGAGTGTGAAGGTTTAAAGTATGGGAAAGCAATTTGTGTAGGAAACATAGTCACTGAAGAAGTTTTACGAAATCCCGCATTTCTTACAGTTTTACTCATATATCCCACACCAGAGTCACACAAACACATAATATATTTGAAGCAGAGCTCATCATACCAAGTACTTAATTGAAAAAATGATGAAAGGCAAGCCCTGTCAGGACAGAAGGCTAGGAAAGCTGATGGGAGAGGTTTGCTTGTGTTTTGCTTAAGTGTCTCTTTAAAAACACTAATTTCTACAAAAGTAAGTTTTCAAATTTGCAAAACTTATTCCCCATTTATTTTTTGCTGTGATTCAGAAATACAAGGTATGAAAACTAGGTTACAATTATGCCACAAAAGCTTCCAAAGTAGCAAACGCAAGTTCTCAGATATCAAAATAGCCAAGTGCACCCTTATGGGCTTGAAAAAGTCTTTATAGAGTTGTGACATCGAGCAAATGTAAAATATAATAGTATCTCCTTTGCACAATACCAAATACGATATCACAGCACTAAACGAGATTCAGTCCAGAAGATAGAAGATAATGATGAGCAGGTACCTTTTAAAGGTGAGTTACCAGAAACTAAAAGATGTAAGAAAGCTACAAAGCATCTTTAGTCAAAAAGTATAAATAAGTGCCCTCAAAGAAGACAAGTTTAAATTAGAATATGATGTAATAAAATTAAATCTGTTGATGATATAGTTCAGTAAAAAAAAATATTACAGTACTGTTTTCTCCTAGAAAGACGAATCCCTATAATTATTTGAATCAAAGCAACTATTACCAAAATGCTTTTGTCATCTACATGTTGGAAACAGTCTCACAAAACTTCACTTCAATATAGCATTTAGCAACAGAACAAAGACTTTTAACTCAGCACGTTATTAATGTAAAGAGGCTATCCATTGTTAATGTCTTCTCTTTTCAGCTATGAAAACTTAAAAAATATAGAAAAGAACAATTCCTTTGACTTCGTTTCTATGAAAAGAAATGAGTATTTTTTAAATACCCTTTTTTCAATTATGAAGGGTCCTACACATTTTGGAATTTCTAAGGCCAAATGACGTTAAACGTTTTAAAATAAATGTCCTCGCGAACATAATATAATGAAACAGAACCACCCAGCCAGCAGAGTGGCACTTCACAACGGGAGCTCACGCAGTGAGCCACTGCTGGTCACGCAGAACCTGCATCTCACCAGAATCATAATCAAACTCCTCCTGCCACAGGGAGGACCCATCCGCTTCTCCGTACAACAGCAAGCGCTGAATCCATGTGGTCCTTTAAAAGAAAAAAGCCAATAGTTTCCCTGACAATCTGACTCAGGGCTTTTTTTCCCTTCCCCTAGGAAAAAAAGTCAGTGTTAAAAAAAAAGTACAAAGGAACAAAGCCAAAAATATGCATAGCATTTGCCTTGTGATATGCTCATGTTTTTGTGAAGTCGGATCGCTGTGTGATGCTGCTTACATGCCTACAGCCCCTTTCCCCAAACAGCTTCTGGCCAGATGTGTTTCAGAATTCACATCTGCGTCTCGAACAGGTAACATGGGGCACAGGTGGGAGAGTGGGGAACATTTCCGCAGGATCGGGGTGGGGGGCACCCCTGTGGTCAAACCCACTGGCAGGTCTTCAGGCGGAACGGACACACAGTCCAGGCAGGAGCAGGAACAAAAACTGCAGTGATCTGACGTCAGCTCAGGTCACATTTCGCTATCAAATGTATCACAGCACCAAACTTAGAAAGGAAAAAATAGCACCTCGATTTTCACAGCTGTTTGGGTAAAGCGCCGTGGCCCTGCGATGTCTGTGACAAGCCCCTTTCCTGACAGCGTGTCTCCACGTGAACGCCTGAGCTTCAGCTGGGCTGGGGACATCACCTCCCACCATGGATCAGGGTCCTACACTCGTCCGGGCAGCAGACCACCTGTGGTCACAGTCCTGTGTAGGAGGACACCCTGAGAAATGACTATTGAAATAACTGCTGTTAATTAGGTGCGTTTATTACATGAGACACCATCTTGGACCAGATTTCCACACAGAGCAGCAGAAGGTGCCAACGTTCAAGGAACATTCATGAGAAAAGAACAAAATTGAGAAAGATCCAGAGAGGAATGTAACTGTTTTCTGTGAATTAGGAAAGTACAGCTCTTACTACATTTCCGACACTGCGCAGAGTCTGCAGGTGATGGAGACCAAAGGTTGAGACTCCCAACGTGAGGGGGGCCATCGACCCACCCCCACAACCGCACTGAGATCACCCCAAGCGACAGACACATCAAATGGTAACCGCTCCTGCCATGGACAGGGCTTAAACAGGCCATTCTCAGCTTTTGATCAATAAGACCCCACGGATTAAAGCCATTAAACGTCTTACTTTTCAAAAATTAAGTCATTTTAACATGAAGAGGATTACAAACTCAAGAGGAAAGAAAGTCTTTGCTCTCATTTTTAGGTCTTCAATCTTCTGTAAAGTTTTTTTTTTAACTATGAAAACTTTCCTCTTCAGAAGCAGTGGCCTGTCTCGCCCGAGTGGGCCGGAAGGTGCTGCCAAACACGTGTTCTGACCGTGTGAGGAGGGGCGTGGCGCTAGCATGACGGCCGTGCACGGGGGCAGGACGAAGCGGGTTTGCTGGCTGGGACTCATCACAGGCACTTACTGTGGGGACCCACACGTGGGCAACAGAGCTCATCGTCCAGAAACAGCACCCTCGGGGCCGCGGGGTTCCAGAGCTGGGCTGTGAGGGGGATGATGGCGCTTCTTTCACACTCTAGAACCGGCCAGGCCCGTGGGAGAATCACTCACAGAAAGAACGCGGTGGTCGTTTCATTCCAAAAACAACTATCTGCCAAATCGGCCTTGTTGTCCAACTTGTTTCTCTTAATGAGTGAAATTTAAATATGCCATCAGCAGCCTTTCCTAAGAGTTACATATACACTGGGAGGAGAATGTCTCACGTCTTAAATTGTTTGTTTGTTTGTTTTCATCAATTCATCAATGAATTGAAAAAGTCAAGTGAAAAATTTTTAACTGGTCTTTTTTTTTAAACAAAAAATGTTATAATAGTATCAGCAAACTTGGAAAGGAAGAGATAATAAACTATTGATATAATGGAATGAAACCTCAGCTCATCACGGCTAGTGAAGAAACTGTAAACGTTTAAGCTTCTAAGATTTTATTTCTCTTCAAAAAAAAAAAACATTTTAGGAGGCTGCTTTTCCCCCCGTAATGAAAAATGAGAAGCGCCCTAGTAACTGGAATTTAAAGAAGACAAGAAAGCTTGGTTTGTCCCACCGGGAAACACCTTACCCCCTTTCCCTTCTCTGCACCGACCTCTCATCCTCTCAGAATTTTCTGGAAACTCCAAGAGCAAGAGAATCCACAGTCATCCGCCAGTAAGCCGCACAGGGCACCAGAGACATGATTAGGTATTCGGGTCACCCGCAACATGAAAAACTCATCTTGAATAAAATACGTGAAATTAAAGAGGGGAAAAACAAGGCTCCAGAAACCCATAGACCGTCTTACATGGCAGGTTTCAAAAGTCCTCACAATGTCTTACATGTCCAAGTCCATCCCTGGGCTTGACCTCTAAGCGGGGAAAAGAACAACTAGAAAAAAGGTGAAGGATCACTCTGGAGTCCCGTTCCTGACCTGCTCATACCTATTAGTCCTCCTACCGTCATCACTTCCCCTCCCAGAGAACCAGATGGTCTCCTAGTCCATGTTTGCATAGTATTCATAACATTCTCTGCACTTGAACTTCTATCCCCTCGCGTGCAGCCAGGTTGCCGAGACCGCTGGTCCCATCTGACATATTCAAAATCAACACACAAGCGTCTGTGGTCCAAAGACTGGGTCCCGTGCAGCAGCAAGCTGCTCACGTGATTTAGAAACACTCCTTCTTCCCGAGGGTTAGGCAGTTTTGTCTGCGGTTTCATATTTTGCTCTTTCTATCATGCAGCGACGAATTATGTTGTCGAAACTTCCCAGGTAGAACAAAGACAGCATGCGGAAAAGGCCCATGGTGACCACCTGGAAGATAAAGACAGACCCGTGAGCTCAGCCAACTGCACAATAGATACAGTAGTGCGTTTCCAGAGAGTTTAGGATATGTCGCTAATAAATAGTTTCTGACCCACGTCTTCTAACCTGCGGCAAGGAGACGGATGATGAAAACTCGGTTAGTGTCAGTAAAACACAGAGGACAGAAGCTATTTGCTCTGCATCGCTGGACACGTAGCACCTGCCAAACAGGTAAGGACAGAACGCAGGCCCGGTTCATATATTCAAATTAAACAAAGAAAAAAAGGCATTCCTAGCAGCCTCGGGGTGCTAAAGCCCGGGGAAATCTGCTCCGGCATCACCAACATCCAGACTACGGCCGGGGCTTTCTGCCTTAAGGTTCATGGTCTGATCACAAAGTCACTCCCTATGCCAGGTGCCGAGAGCAGGCTTGGGCCTGTTCTCCAGGAGGTGAGTCCCGAATTGGAAAGACAACCAATTGGAGAAAGACGTTTATAGTTTCAGGGTCTCAAGATGGCAAATAACTGTTACCTGCTAGCTTTCACTTTTTCCACTGAGAGACTCACCACTATTGCCTCTAAGTGGAATTCTCGAAAAGCATACAACCACAGAAAAAGATTTTTAAATGTGCAAGGTCTCAAGAATTTTGCCTGCTGCACAACTTTTTCCCTGAAAGCTACTAGAAGTAGACAGCCAGTGTGAGGGGGACAACCAAGAAAGGCAGTCATGTGACACGGGGGTCCCCGGGATGACCACACGTGGGCGGTGGGGCTGGTGTCAGCCGTGCCCACACATGGGGGCAGCCGGGCCTGGCGGCAGGTTCTAGGAGGAACGCCTTCCGGAAGGTGAAACTGGTCAGAGCATCTGACATTTCTGAGTGGCAGTGAAGACCGTCACTGTGAATAATCCACAGAAATCACACATTAAAAAGGCCCACAAGTTTCAGGGAAAAGAAACAGGGAAAATACAAGAAAAAGAAATGAATGACGTACACGTTACACAGCATTTAAACAGCATTTTTTAAACGACGATCCTAAGGCAGATGTAACCAAAAGCTCAGTATCGCTGGGAAGGGAGGGTGGGGAGGGAGAAGCGGTGGGTGGAGTGTGGGGGGGTGGCCTGGGGGTCAGTGCCCGATCCCAAAGGGGGCGGCCGAGTGGAAGCGGCTGTTCCGTGTGTAACCGAGACGCATGGAGGCCACTCTCCACGTGTCCGGCCGACGGGACGGCGTGTGACTGCTTCTGAGAAGGTGAAATGGGGACACGGAACGAGGGCCACGGCTTCTCCTAACAGGCCTCGAAACCTCTGCGCTGCTCTGACGTGCGCAACAAGGCTGACCTTGAGCAATGTGAAAACTGAGGGAAGCGGCCAAAGGCACAACCGGGGAGATGGTCAAAAAGGCAGGGGCTGGGAGGGAGGGCGCGCTAACATGTCACAGAGTGCCTGCCTCTGAGCAGGGACCGCGACACCACATTCAGTCTGGACGTGGTCTCGGCACCTAATTCAGTGCTTTGTTCTAAACCACCCATCGGCCCGGGCAGCCCAGGCTCAGGCGGCCTCCCCCCGGCTCCATGTCCTGGCCCCCACCCACCTTCCACCACTGGAGGCTCTGTCTCTCCAGAGCAGCCCCTCTAGTATAACTCACTATTTCACACTGTGTTAGTGCCACCCTACTGGTCTGGGAGCCCCTGGAGTTTACAGCTGACCCTCCAGAAGCAAACGGGACCCCCGGCTCCTCCAGGGGCAGTGAACCGTTTGTGTCCCGAATGAACTGCAGCATCCACCAGGGTGGGGACTGTGCTGAACCTGGACCTCCCGAAGCTGAGTTATCTACGGCCTGACTCACTCAGGATGGGAGCTCTAGTCCAACATCCCAGGACCACTCTGGACAGAGGAGAACTCCATTTTCCAAACACTTCCGATCGGGCAAGAAGCCAGGCCGCCTGCCCAGCGGCCGAGACAGCGCTGTAGCCCTGTCTGCAGTGGCCGGCATGGAAGCCTTCTTTCCTCGCCTGACCTCCCCGGTGAAATCTTCAACCTGCTCCCCAGTGACTTGTCTCCGGGAGAGGCGGGGAGAAAGCTGCTGCTTGAATGAGAATTTTTCACATGCTCAGATCAAGCTGCTAAGTCCTCCTTTATTTAGCCTTTTCTCACGGAGGTTTAATGAGAGGCACTGTCTGTTGTCTGTCCGTCTGTCTGCTGGCCTAGGCACCGCTTACCTGCTGGAGCCCTTCGGTGATCGAAGTGACAGGAGCCATTCCGCAGGTGAGGGATGAGAGCATGTACCCGTCTGAGCCAATGGAGCTATTAAAGTTCCCTTGCTAAAAGGAAAGAAGAGAGAAGAAAGAAGCAATGGGAGTTACAGGAAAGGAGTCAACATGCCAGGAACACGGAGCTGTGTCCGTTGACCCGGTGTGGGATGGGAGGCTGACCAGCACAGCTCAGAATGACCATGGCCTTGGCAGAGGGGCTGATGTCTAGACGGGAGGTTCTCAAAACGTGGGCCAGTCCGAGGACCCTGGGTGTCCACGAGCACAAAGCAACCGTCATCGTAACTTTTTCACTGAGTGACATTGGCAAAAAGCTGGCTTCTTAGCACGAATCACAATAGTGGCCCCTCTTCACCGCCACACACACACCCGCTGTGATATACGAAGAAAACAGAAATTCTGAAAGACCTTGTAAAACTTTAAAATTTGTTGTTTTTGCTTTAAGATGCCCTTGATAAGGTGGTGAAATGGATTGTTTAATTAAATCCCAACCCCGGAGGACATGTCTTCTTGGAAGTGAGCGCCCCTCTCCCCACGGCTTAAGTCATGAAACCCGCTGCTCTGCCCGTGGAACGGCCACTTTCCACGCGAGAACCACCGGCAGGCAAACTATGGTCCCGCACCCTCCGTGTTGGGGAGATCTTTTCTGGAAAATTAATGAAATGCCCTGTCGTGTTAAGAAAAATCGGCAGTGTTTACGGCCACTGTTAAATTCTGAGTTTTCCATGCGACCGTCAGCTGCCCACTAGATGAAGACTTTTGTAAGAGCAGCGGCCACATTAACAAATGCAAGTTTTTGGACAACTCAGTGAACCCATATTTTCCGAATGACTAATGCATGCCGTTACAAAATCATGAATGGGTCCAAAACATTCAAAGTGCAAAGACCAATGGACTTTCCTGCAACAGAGAACAAAAAGTTCATTAACTGAGTTTCTAACACCACACTGCAACTAACCTTTAAGAAACTACTCTTTATCCAGTGTGGGTTTCCAACCAAAAAAGCATGCCCATGGTGATCTGAAAATTTTGTGAAATATCCTTCTCTCTTCTAAGTATGTGTCTGTGTAAGGCCAGGTTTTCTCTGTATCCTTCATTCAAAACCACATGTGACAACAGAATGAATATGTTCTCAGAAGCGGCTCGGAGAACCCAGCTGCCTTCCAGGAACACACACAGTGAGGCGACCACTGCCGTGTAAAACTAAGCCTCTCCTTCCACCAAAGGTTTGTTTTGAGAAATGATTACGGTTGTAAAAATGTAGCGGGTTTGTTACTGTTCGTTTAAATGGGACTCATAAATGTTTGGAAAGTTACACAGTTTCCACTTGTAATATGGCAAATATAACCCACGTAAGCCAAAGTTCTCCGGGGTTGTCCACCCTTGAGAGTACAAAGTGGTCAAGAGGGGAAGAAGCGTGACCACCGCCAGCCTGAATGAATCCTGCTGCAATACAAAGAGAGGTTTCAGATTATTAAAAACCGAGTGTTTGCTTTGACCTGAGATAAGCAGGAAACACAAAGTCCACCCTATCCACGATGCCCTCTTCCCACGCCTTTGCCCACAGCAGGGCAAAGTCCTCCCATGTCTGCATGCATTTTCAGAGCTCAAGACTTCTCGTATTCCACTCAGGTTGGCCTCAGGCACAGCATCCCGACACCTCTCGTTCCAGGGGGTCCTCAGATTTCCTAAGTTCGGCCTTAAGTTTACAGACACGCCCCACGCCTGGCTATTTTTCCCTGCGTGTGGGTTAACAGGAATGTTGTCCAAAGCCTCCGGCGCGTGTGTTGTTCTGCAAAACAGCACGTGGTTTCTGAAGATAACCTTCTTGATTCCACACGAACTCCGTAGCCCAGAAGCACAGTATCTGGGTTGACAGTGGGAGGGCCCAGGGGCCTGGCTGCACTTTCTCATGAGTGAACATTTGGGAAAATGATTCTGGGAAGCAGGGAGGTGAAAGGAAAACCCACGAGTCTGGCAAGGTACCTAAAATGATGTAAAACTGAAACTGCTGTGGGGAAGGAGGAGGCCGCGGGCAGCAGAGAGTGCACGGAACGTATCACTGATGTGCCGGCCTCGTTTTTTCCCCAAAGAACCAACGTTCTCACACCCAAAGCAACCAATCTGTCCCTAAGGTCAGGATACAATACAGGCTCCAGCAGAAGAAAGGCCTGCGTGAGTGTGCCTGGCAGGGTAATAATATGGGTGTAATAACTGATAGTTGTAATTCAGACATTTCACCTAGAACATCACATGGTGTGCTCGCGTGTGCTCTCGTGATGTTCCAGAATCACATGCTTATGATCTTGTCACACAAGATTCTGCAAGAAAACGGGGGCGTTATTTGTGCCGGGCCCTGTAGAATTCATTTCCCAAGAGACTGCTAATTAACATGGAATCAGTAACTTTCTCGGGGAAGAAAAGCACGGTCTCACACTAGATGTGATGGAGTTGACCAAAAGTGTACAATCGTTGTTTTTTTTTTTAAATAGGCCTGGGGACAAAACACCTTTTCGGGAAGTACAGATCGACAGCTATCACTAAAGAAAACCAGGACTGACTTACCACAGCGTCTTTGACGATCTGCTTGGCCACTTGCTCTGGTGGGCAAATAGACGTGGTCTCGGAAATAAGGCGGGTTTCCAAAGGCTAAAGTGGAGAACGGACACATCAACACCATTACATTGGGAAAAAAAATCAATAAAATGCTTACAGCCCTCCCTGCCCCCCTCCCCCTGGTTTAGACATAAGTTCAGTTTTCTACCTTTGAGTAGGTTCCTATTTTGGGAATTAGGTCCATCTGGATTCTCCGTCAGTTCCTACCTGGTCCCTGTACAAACTTCAGCCCAGAACCCGAACCCAGACACAGAGGCCCTGGCCGCTCTCTGTAGGACGTGGGGTCTCGGCTCCCAACGAGGACCATCAAAGCGTGAACGAGAACACACCCACTGGTAGGAGAGACCAGTAACTTCCTCTCCTGATCCTCACTGCTGGCCAGACCCCGGCCTGTAGGGTTTCCGCAGAGCCGAGACCGGGTGCCCTGAGCAAGTCTGCTCATAGGCCTGCACCCCTGCTGTCACCGTTCTCCAGGCCAGTGGAGGAGTGACACCGGGAAGGACAGCCACAGCGCCATTCAACACTGCAGCTGTTTCTTAAAAGGCCAGGAGGAGACTGGAAGATAAAATACAGAGTGCCTGGTCCCTCCTGTGGCTCTGTGCTTGGTACTGGGTCGGGGCAGGAGAACCCGCCATCCTAGCCTTTTGTTAACTGTCCATCACCGCTGCCACAGGGGTCAAAAAGCTTCTGTGAATTCGTAACTGGCAGTAATCTCTTGTCTTTGAACATTTCTGCCTTAATGTATATTATAGCTACCTGTGTGTTTACAATTTACCTCCTAAATTCTTTGTGGACGGGGTCTTTTTCCCCCCCCAATTAAAAAAAAAATTTTCTTTGCAGCGATGCGCATGAACACTCAAAAATTCCTTAGAAGGGGATTCATTACAAGTTTCAAAACTGAAGCCTTAAACTGCACGAAGTTGTAAATTTTATTTACTGTGCCGGCTGAAAAGAATTAAAATTAAAACCAGAATGTATCTTCTTAAAAAAAGAAAGCAGAGCACTTTATTAAAGCTCAGTATTTCTTGATAAACCTGAATTAGGAGAAAGGCCCTTTTGAAGGTGCCACGATTCATTCTTCCAGACCATGAGGCTGGTATAACCACACGGCATTAGACACACATTAGATTTAAAGGCACTATGGCGCCCCCTATGGGCACTACAGGCCAACGATGGATTTGACTTTCCCTAAGAAGTCTGCCCAACATTTTAGTGGTGGGGAAAAAACCCCAATTTAACATCAAAATCACATCTTCACAGGGAAATCACCACCCTTTGTCAGCGTTGGCTTCAAACTAAAAGACTGCTTACCAAATGCTGCAAATCTGCTTAGCAGATTCCCTGCTTATTCTGAGACAGACATTTGGCTTAAATTTACTTCTTTGAAATAGTAGTAATTTTAAAAGAGGCAGAGCCGAAGAGAAATGAATAGGAAAAAAAGCTTCTAAATCATAAACATCTTTCTGCAGCTACATGCCTATGGAGCCCAAGTGCCCGTTTTTCTGCGATGGGGATTCACACTAAGCCTCACTATGAAAGAGAAGAAAAACAAGGGTCGCCAGTTCAAGGTGGTAAGTTCTGATTGACTCCTTTCCTCCCCCCTGGGTTCGCTTGCTCAGAGTGGCTACCATGCAGCAGAGCACGGAGGAGGCTCCTCCGAACAAAACGCAAAGCTCTGTGTCCCACTCAGGACCACTGGCAGCTGCCGTGTCCCGTGTCCAGGGGCGACACGCACCCTGGAGGAGATGGAGAGCCAGAGGATGGAGACCGCCTCGGGGAGGTGCCATCAGAGAGAGACACAGAGGTCGGGGAAGTGACCCCTGTACAGAGATGGGAAGCACCAAGGGAGTGAGCTGTTCAAACATCCAGACAGGACAGCAAGAGCGGAGCCCCTGGGTGACGACGGCCCAGGCGAGCTGCTGGAACGGACTGGGCCTGAGAGGAGGAGGAAATGATGCCGGCAGGTAGGCGGCCGCGGCCCGGACGCCGGGAACCTTCTGCTAGGCCTTCAGACTCTGCTCCAGGCAGGATGCCAACATGCTCTATTTAATTTTAACTTTGGCTAGGTAAAATTAAATAAAATTGAAAATCCAATTTCTCAACCCCACTCAGCAGTGTTCTGGTGCTCCAGAGCCACAGTGTGAAAGGAGTGAAACGGCACGTTTTCACCATTCTAGAACGTTCCATTAGACTGTGCTGACCAAGAGGTCTTTGGCCTTTTTTTTTTTTACATCACGGGAGGGTTTTCACAGGGTAGTGACAAGACCCCGTGGCAAATGAACAGAAGCGGGTAGACCAGTGTGAATCTAGTAAAGTAAGTTTATGCAAAGATATCAGTTGCCGTCACTGCTAGAATGGTAGTGACACGTGCAGTTAAAAATCAACAGGTCAGCCCTGGCTGGTGTGGCTCAGCAGACTGAGTGCCAGCAAACTGAGACTCGCCAGTTCGATTCCCAGTCAGGGCACATGCCTGGGTTGTGGGCCTGGTCCCCAGATGGGGGCACGCAAGAGGCAACTACACACTGATGTTTCTCTCCCTCTCTCCCTCCCTTCCCCCCTAATAATAAATAAATAAAATATTTAAAAAAATAAAAACAAACAGGTCAGATTCAGGATGTGTTCTGACAGGGGCCCAGAGGGAGAATCTGGCTGGCTTCCGGTTTGTAGCCTGCGCCGCTGGGTGAGCACTGGGCACCAGGTAATGAGACGAAAATAACGAGGGGCATTGACAGGGAATCAAAAGTCCCGTTTTGGAAACGTTACAGCCTGAGGTGCCCATTAGACCTCCATGGGGAAACAATGGAATAGCAACTGGGTCTTCAAGTTCAGGGGCAGAATGTGATTTCTAAAGAATATCATCTCATTAGTTAAAAATACAGGCTGCAGGAAAGAAGATACCTTGTTAATTCAACAAGGACTCAATGACTATTAGCAAAACTCAGGGCCTTTGAAAATACGGCTGCATCCTCCACGATGTCGAATGAATGTTCCAGAAAGTTCAGAGGCCTGTAGCTAGCACATTAATTAAAAGGCATTTAACTTTCTCACTGATGAAAAGTGTCTGCAGGCTGGAGTGTGGAAGAAGAAAATCAGAAAAGGGGTTTGCAACGTTAAAGACTTGAGTTAGGGCACAGATGGGTGCTTACCTTTGTCTTGTTTTCTTCTGCAAACCCAGGTGTGTCTGTGTCGGGCGGGTAGGCGACAGTGACGTAGACATTGTAGGGCTTCACCTGCATTTCAGAAACAACAGCCACACCTCAGTAAACAAGACACACCTGCACGCCCACCTCCCCAACCCCCAGCCCCATTAGCCTGCATGGGGTGCCAAGCAGGCACTGGGATCAGATGCTGCCCGCTGGTCTCCAAGGGGGCCCAGGCTGACAGGGGACCCCTCAGGAGTGAAAGCACGATCCCCTGAGCCAGGAAAGGCCTCCCCAGGAAGCTCATTCAGAAATAAAGTCCAAGGCTCATCCTAACCTCCACTCCAGAAGATAGCTGATCCTAACATAGATAGCCATTCACCCCTCCTGCTGGTGCCAGTGACAAAGTGACAAAGAGACAACACTAAAAGGGTCCCCTTGGCCACCCTGCCCGCTGCTCAGACCCTGGGTTCAAGGCCACGGCCTAGGTTTGCTGCTCCGCCAGCAGGCTGCAGACGTGTTATCCTCACGCTGCTCCTGAAACTCTGGTTACGTAGATTTCATCCACAAGGTGAGCTGAGGTCATTTAGACCCCTCCCCACTCGGCCCCCCCATTTACATACAGAAACACTGTCCGGGGGCTCCTCACAGCTCCCTCCCACCTGGGACTCACCTGGCCCCTCGAGCGGTGTGGAAGAGCACCTTCTTAGGCACTCTTACCTCACTGCCATGCCTCCAAACTTCCCCCTCAAACACAGGCCCTCACCACTTCCAGAAGCTTCCCCTGATGGTCTGATGGGACATACCCTTCCCAAAGCCTTGCTCAACCCAGATTCTTAGCGACTCTCCTGGTGGTGGTTCACCCCGTCCAAACCCCTGCCGTGACTTTCTCTGACTTGGAAGTGGACAGGCAGCAGGTGGTAGGTCTGGCCACTGTGGGTCTTACAAAGGCTGAACAAACACAGCAGGACCGCCCGGGGCAGCAGCCTTGGAGCACCTCCCAGGGTCCCTTCCCATCACAGAGCCCTTTCTCCCTGGGTCCCTCCACAGAGCCCGGTTCTGCAGCCCATGGGAGGAGCCATAAGGCCCCAGAGGACCGTGCAGACCGCAGGTCCCCTGGCAGCCACCAGGGCCATGAAAGAGCAGAGGGGACGCCTGTGTCGGTGGGGCCCCAGGACGCCCAGGGCACCCAGGGCGTGGGAGCTCCCTGGGCACTGACCAGGCGCGCAGCCTCAGAGCCCAGCTATGCCCACACATGGCTCTGGATTTGGGCCAGGCGGGGAGGCTGATGAGCAAGCAGGTTCTCTTCCGCTTGTTTCTGAGGGAGCGACTTTAAAAACCGTCTCCCATGACCTTGTGCACAGACCAGAGAACTCGAATGCAGGATATAAAACTGAAAGCAACCCGAACAAGACAAGCAAAAACTCACCCAGACGACAGTACGGTGGTCACCAGAGGGAAGGGGTGGGGGTAGTAAAGGGTAAGGGGGCTCAAATACACGGTGATGGAAGAAGAGTTGACTTTGGGTGGAGACGCACAATGCAATATACAGATGATGTATCACAGAACTGTACACTTGAAACCTATGTAATTTTACTAGCCAATGTCACCTCAATCATTATTTTTTTAGATTTTATTTATTTACTTTTTTGTAGAGAGAGGGAAAGGGAGGGAGAAAGAGAGGAAGAGAAACATCAGTGTGTGAGAGCTACATCTATCGGTTGCCTCTCACATGCTCCCAACTGGGGACCTGGCCGACAAGCCAGGCACGTGACCTGACTGGGCATCGAACCAGCGACCTTTCGGTTCGCAGGCCACTCTCAATCCACTCAAGCCAGGGCTCATCTCCATGAGGAAATTTAATCAAGGGAAGCCAACAAGTGGCCATCAGACCCTGTAAAGCCGGAGGCTGGCAGCTCGGACATGCTGCCCAACAGTAAGGACTGCGGCCCATCACCAGCGGAAGACAGCATTTCAAAGCAGAGTTTCTCAAGTTTCTCAAACTCAGGGTTTTTGCTGAGCTTCCAAATAAGCAAAACAGGGTTTCAGAACAGCTTTCTCCTGGCGTGGGCACAGACGGTCAGGACTGGGAGAGACCCAGCCAACCCCTTCTGGGATGCGGTATCCTGCCTGTAATCAGGAAGCCAAATGACTCTCTCAACCTCTGCCTGGGTTCCTCCCAGTGGCTCGTAAGCCAACCAATCCATTCACTCATCCAACAAACACTTCCCGAATAATGGCTATGTGTTGTTGGCACTGTTCTAAGAAGAAAGCATACGGATGTGAGCAGACAGACAGAAGAACCCCTGCTCTCATGGAGCTTACAATCTCCTGAAATTCTTGGTCAGATAATGTGCTAAAATCTAAATCCATTAAACTATATCTATACTTTCCTTTCATCGACCAATCCCGCAACCCCAGCAGAAAAGGAAATGAGGTTATTTTGGCTTCGCTTGTCTGTGCTACGTCACTGCTGACTCCAGAAATCACCACCTGTCCTAAGAATTTACAGCCAGGACTCCGCCAGCTGGTTCCCTGCTCACCCGGCCACTGCCTGCTTCTCCTTCTGCTCTCTCCTACCCTGTGCTTCCTGTTCTCCCCTCCACAGAAAGACAACCACCTGCTCCGGAACTGATTTATTGTCAGGATACTCCCGCCTAAGGTGTGTTATTCCTAATTCCACCCCAACAGAGACACGGGGGCTGCAGAGAAGGTCGGAAGCGCTGCCGTGCAGAAATCGCGGACTTTTAGGCCACGTGGGAAGAGATGGAGCCCGAGGGGGCGAGCAGGATCCTGACAAGGTTTTCTTTTACTCGGTCTCTGCTTTTCCCGAAAGTTAACTTTTAAAATCTTTAACTGATGTATTTGTACCTAAAAGACCGACTTTTTAGAAGACAAACAAATGCAACAAAGCATTCTTTCCAAATTACTTGTACGTACTACACCTCTAGGGTCTGACTTTAGTTTTGGGGCAAGAGGAAGGGTGGAGGGGTGGACAGCAAAACTTAAGAGTTAAAGCAAAAAGGACTATCAAAAGCAGTTAGCATTTGAGCAATTCTATTAAGTCTGTTCATTCATTGAAAACCTTCCACCCTGGCCAAAGAGCCTCAATTATCCAGATTTCAAAAACACAACAGCAGATGTTTGTAGGGAAATATTTGTTTTGATGCAAGTTCTATTATGAACAAACTAGATTTGGATTATTTTATTAAATAATTAATTAAATTAATTAATTAAATAATTAATTCCCCCCAAAAAACTATTCTTCACAATATAGGTTTATTTTATTTTTTTGCGCCTATGAGGACATTTTGAATAGAGTCCAAATACAGAGGGAAGTTGAGACTGGCAGGTCCAGGCCAGCTAGCTGCACTGCTCACACTGGTCACAAAGGGGCTGCAGAGACTCCACAACAGCCACTCACATTCTTTTCCCTCTTCTTCACTAACACCTCCCTTCTGTCTTAAGCAAAACCAGGCCACCCGTGTTACAGGCATTATATGCTTTGCCCTACATTACTGAATCCTGAGGTGGCTTGCAAGACAAGACATAGTGACAAAAAGCCCTTATGGGCACATGTGTCACTTCCAAAACACCACTTCCCCTACTCGGTTTCTAAGACCAAAGTCAAGGGCTAAGGCAACCAGCCAGATGAGTGAGGCCACTTCTGACCTGAATTACAGACGGTTCTCTGCTGGTCTGCTGGAGGACAGAGGCGAGGACGGAGCCCCAAGGCTGGGGCTTTGTCACTATTTTGGTCACAAAGTCACCATGTGACTTTGAGCAACTCTATGAACTTGAAAACTCAGCTTTCTGATCTATAAGGTGGCATAACATTGTCTGCCTCAGGGATTTCAGAAAAAATGGTTATAAAAATATAATGGTTGTTCACAAAGAGACTTCTCAATGGGAAAACTGCAAAAGAAATACTGGCACTCTTGTTTGAGATGTCCCAGTTGTATGTGTCCTCTTGGCTAATCGATGGCCAATTACTGATTACAGCATTAAGCAAGTTGATGAACGTGAGATTTGGGGCTGGTTCCTTTGAAGAGAATGGCACAGTGTATTGGTCCCTCGGTGGCAGCTCAGGACTCTGTCACTGACCGGACGGCTCACCCAAGAGCAACGCTCATTCGCTATCTAGGCAAGGCGGGTCCATGTCACTTACCACCAAGGGCTCTTCTAGGGATTTTCTTTCTTTCTTTTTTTTTTAAGATTTTTATTTTTTAGATAGGGGAAGGGAGGGAGAAAGAGAGGGAGAGAAAAATCAATGTGTGGTTGCCTCTCATGTGGCCCCCCACTGGGGACCTGGCCCCCAACCCTGGCACATGCCCTGACTGGGAATTGAACCTGTGACCATTGGCTTCGCAGCCTATGCTCAATCCCCTGCGCCACACCATCTTCTAGGGATTTTCTAAATCAGGGGTCAGCAAGATATGTCTGCAGGCCAAACCAGGCCCTTTACCTGTTTTTATCAATAAAGTTTTATTGGTACCCAGCCACAACCATTCATTTACATTTTGCACATAGCTGTTCTCCTGCAGGAGAGCAGGAGGCTCTCAGGAGCCTCACAAGAGGCTTGAGTAGTTATGACAGAAACCACCGAGCTCTCAAAGGCTACAATATCACTATCTGGACCATGACAGAGAAATTATGTCCCAACCCCCGATCTAAGTTGTTAAATAGGATCCTCAAATCACACAGTTACTGTAAGAGGGCAGGCCACGGTGAATTCTCTTCCGGGTCTCTAACATCACGCTGCAGTGTTATTTCTGCAGCTGTTACAGCCGTACAATCTTGCCTTGCCTTTTCAGTGCGCCACTTTGGCCAGGTCTGCCTGAGGGTCTCTAAGCACTCCCAGGTGACAGAACTGCGGAAGCCTACTCCACGTAGCGGAGGTCCAAGGCTGTGGCATCAGGACAGGCCCTTGCTCTGACACTAATCCTGACCTCCCCCTCTGCCACAGAAGGTTCTATGAACTGTGAAAATAAAAAGGCATCACTCTTATCAATATTTCTTTCAGACGCTGAAGGATTATTTTTAGTCCAACCCTCCCATTTTGTAGATAAGTAAACTGAGAGCAAGTTCAATGATTTGTCTGAAAGCTCACAGCTAGACAGCTTCGACTCTCCCCTCAAACACATGCTAATTGTATTAGCCAGTTATAAGGACGGGTCTCTTTGTTCAAGGAACACCGTTAGATAATGAAATATCTGGTTAACCTTATTATACATGCTCACACAGTATTAGACCAATGATGTAATGAAGACCTTAGCAGTACTTTGTGTATTCAATTAAGCAACCAAAAACCTCACAGCCATTTTGCTTGTCACAACTACAATCATTTTATACAATAAAAATGTTAACATTTTAATCACAAGATGCGGGCACAGAGCCAGTGCTCTTTCACGAACGTCAAGTTTACAAATCCGTAATTCAACAGAACGACGTGTGTAAAGGAGCCACCAGTGGAAGGGGAACGCTTGCTGAGCTGATGGGAAGAAGTATAAAACCGCGGACAGCGCTTACCTCCATCTGCAGCGCTTCTGCCAAGCCCTTGATGGCAAACTTGGATGGAGAGTAGGCAGTGAAGCCAAAAAGTCCCACCTGTCCCGCCTGGGAGGACAGAAAGACGATCCTGCCCACCCGGCGCTCCTTCATGGTGGTGATGACGGCTCGGCTGGCGTACACGCTGCCCAGGTAGTTCACGCTCATTAGTTTCTGCAGGGAACAGAAAGGCCACGGGGAAGGTCAAAGCCACAAGGCTGCACACACTCCCAGCCATGTGGTCTGCTCTCCAGGTGGGAGATAGGTGGACCCCATGAATGAATGAATGAATGAATGAATGAGTGAAGGAATGAATGAACAAATGAGAAAACGACCCCATAACCGAGCCATGATGCTCAGGATCTGTTATCTGAAGTCTGTTTTGATCTGGTCTTGCATTCTCACAATGACCACAGTTCTGTCTTTGCTGAAAATGGGTCAAAACGCGTTTTCTCCTCACAGGTAATACCGTTGGACAGGCAGTGTTAGAAATGAGCTTCCAAACAGGTCCAGCCCTTTAGTTCTGAGGTCCAGAAAGACCAGAGAGAGACCAGACAGTGCCTGAGAGCCTGGGCTGAGGTCTGAAGCCTCGGCTCTACCCTTTACTACCTTTCTGATGATACACAAGAAAGCCCCGTGTAGCTGAAAACAGGGTCCTCATAACGATATTCTCTCACAGGGCTGCCGCAAGGGTTAGAGAGGGAACCCAGGTCGGGTGCTGGCCCGGAGTCAGTTCTCAGTAAATGTTGGCTTTTATATTAAACGGGTAAGATCCTACCTAAGTACCTACAGTATACTTTCTCCTCACCCTGGGAACTCTTAAAAATCTTACATTTTCACTCGAAAATCTCTAAGATGACGTGCATTGAAGTGTTTTTACGTTAAAAGTCTTGTAAAAATATCAGATCGATCGCCATGTGAAACCAAACATTTCATTGGGGGAACTTTGAGTCCATCGTGACATGTTAATTCAATAGAATGTTAGATCACTTTTATGTTGAAACAATGACCAGAAACACTGGGGGGGGGCATCTTTATTCTGTAAGTTTAAAAAAAGTAGAGGGCAGATGATGAATTTACACTGTGACTGTAACTGTTTCAAATATGAAATAAAAGCACACGTGTGCAGGCTTGAAACCAAGGAAGCAGAAAATTCTACATGACTATGTTAGGATGCTGGGATTCCCACTGCCCCCTCCCCAAATACCTTTTAATATCGTTACGCTGTTTCAATAACGACAATCCTCTAAAATGGCATTTGGAAACACGGTGGCAGACCGCATCCCAGGGACGCCCTCGGCCCCCTCAGAAACCTCCACTACAACTTCCGTGGAAAACATATGTACATTTTTAAAGAATAGGAAAGAAAATACCAGCAGTAATGGTTTGAAAGTTGAAGAACAGAAGCACAGGTGGCAGATAACTAGCTCAGCAGAGAGCCGAATGCCGAGCAAGGAGGGGAGAAGCTAAAAAGCATGAGGCACAGAACCCCAGAAGGCTCCAGGCCCTCCTGGGGGGTGGGGGCAGGAGCAGTGGGGCGGGGGCGGGGAGGGGCACACGGGGCTGAAAGACAAGAGTATGGACCAAGAATCTGCTCAAAAAAAAAAACAGTCAGATAGGCAAGTTCACCATTATAATTGGAGATTTCAGTGCCTCTTCTTCAACAGTTGGCAGAACAAGTTGGCACAACATCGGGAAGGACACAGAACATTTGAACAATGTCACCCGTGCGCTTTTCGGGTGCACACGGAATGGCTGCCGGGTAGACTACATTCTGGGCCCTAAGCTGAGTCTCGATAGATATGAAAGGATTCAAGTCGTACAAACTATGTTCACTGACCTCAATGGAATGAAATTGGAAATCAATTGAGAGAGAGAGAGATTTCTGAAAAACACTCAAATATTTGGAAACTAAATAACACGCTTTTAAATAAGCCAAGTGGCAATGCAGAAATGACGAGGAAAATTACAAAATATTTTAACTGAATGCCAGTGAAAACACTTTCTGCTGGGAAAGCAGGACAGAAAAGGTAAAAGGTCCCAAATCAATGATTTCAGCTTCCACCTAAAGAAACTATAAAAAGAGCAAATTAAAACAAAAGCAAACAGAAAAAAGGAGATAATGAAAATAATAGAGGAAATAAATGAAATGGAAAACAGGAAAAGAGAAAAGTCATAAACCGAAAGCTGGTTTTTGAGAAAAGTCAGTAAACTTGATAGACGTCCAGTCGTCCTGGTCGGGGAACGGAGAGGACTCTCTAGAGCGAGAGCAGGGACACTGCAAACTGGATGGACATGAGAAGGACGACAATGGAACACGGTGACACTACATTCAACGGCTTAGATGACACAGACAAGTTCCCTGAAAGACACAGGGGCCAACAGCCACGCAAAAAGAACCTACCCACGGAGCCATCTGTTTATTAAAGAAACAGAATTAAAGGCATAAACCGCCCCACAAAGAATTCTGCCCAACATTTAAGAAAGAACAATACTGATTCTCTACAAACTCCTCCAGAAAACTAGAGAATACTCCCCTACTCATTCCACAAGGCTGGCATTACCCCTTATTCCAAAACCAGAAAGTAACATCATGAGAAAGGAAAATATCCCTCAAGAACATAGAAATAAGACAGTGTAACCAAGTATAAATATCTAAAATCCAGTTCAGTGTTCAGCCAGAAGTACAATTATCTATATGCGCGCGGATTTTTGAAGGCGTCCCAGAAATGCAAGGTTGGTTTAACATGTGAAAATTAATGTCTGATCACCCCCGTAGATGCAAAAAAAGCACTTGACAAAATTTAACATCCATTCCTTACTTTAAAAACACTCTCGGCGAACTAGAAATAGAAAGGGATTTCTTCTGCCTGACAAACGGCTTTTACCAAAACCACAAAAACAAAACCACAGCGACCGGCACTTAAATGGCCAAAGCGGAGTGTTTTCTCCCTCAGATCAGGGATAAGACAGGAAAGCCCGTTCTCAACTCTTCCACCCAAAACTGTGCCCAAAGTCCCAGCAGAGCAACAAGGCTGTCCCGAAGACGACATTACCAGCAAAACTGTCACAGGGGACGTGACCTTCAGAGTCAAAAATCCAATGAACACTGGAATTATAATTGAGTTTAGCTAGGCTGCAAGATCAATATCCAAAGGTCAATTGTACTTCACTATAGGAGCAATGAACACTCAGAAACTGGAATTTTAAAGATAAAATTTATTCCAGCATCAAAAAGTATGAAATACTGAAAAGCGACGTGCAAGACCGTCACGCTGAAAACTACGAAACCTCACTGAGACAAAGGAAAACCTGACCAAGTGGAGGTCTAGACTGTGTCCATGGGTTCGAAAACAATATTGTTAAGATGTCAACTCTCCCTGAGTGGATCTACAGTCAACACAGCCCCGATCAAAAACGTAAATTAGCCCTGGCTGGTGTAGCTCAGTGGACTGAGCACAGGCCTGCGAACCAAAGGATCGCGGTTTGATTCCCAGTCAGGGCACATGCCTGGGTTGCAGGCCAGTTCCCAGCAGGGGATGCACAAAAGGCAACCATATACTGATAGCTAATATTTCTCTCCCTCTCTCCTTCCCGTCCCCTCTAAAGATAAATAAATAAAAACATTTTTAAATATATAAATTAACTCAATGTCCACAGGTAGAAAAAACAAGACAGCTTCAAGACACCGTAAAGAAAGGCATCGAAAGGGACAATGAAGGGAAGGAAGTGAGGGAGAGGTCCCCAAGTTCACCTCCAGGTTTGTGATTCACAGGAAGGCCTCACGGGACCCTGCCCAGCGCTGTGCTCATCATGACTAGGGTTTACTGCAGTGAGCAAACACGGAGCCACCTTGGCAAGGGCAAAAGGCACCCAGGGCAGAGTCCAGCGACACCAGGAGCAGGTTTCTGGGCGTCAGCTGCCTGCGGGCTTGCACGGGCCACGCGTACTTCCCCCTCACTGTCCCCCAGCCCAGCCCACAATGTGCAGTGAGGACTTGGGCAAGGCACTTTATGGGCACGTGAACTCCAGTAAGATGAAGACTGAGAACAAGAAGCAAACAAGAGGAACTGCAACAGAATTTATTTTGCATAAAAATGAACTCTTAGCTTCAGAAAAATGCATCAGAGGTACGTTCCAACAGGGCTCCCTGAGGACCCCTGGACTTGGCCAAACAGAGCAAGTGGCTGCACCCCAGAGGGGAGAGGGGCCTTGGGGGGTGCCGGTCCCCTGAGGCCTCCACGGGGGCAGCCAGAGGAAGATGGGCAGAGAGGGTCTCCCTGTGTCGGGCCCTGTCGCTGGAATAGAGGCCCCAAGCTTGGGGATAACGGTCCTTCCTTTTTAGGCTAGTTCTCACTGTGGGCGGGGCCTCTTCCAACACCTCCTATCAGCTGCTTGAGCCCCCTGTGCTGACCTGTCCCCCACTTCTTGGTTGCCCAATACTCTACCTCCATCCACTTCCCAACGTCACTCCTTCCCTCAAAGACCCCAAGAGCTCCTAAAAGTCTCCAGGACACAGCAGGAGGGCCCGACTGCCTTGCCCAGCTTACACCTCTTGAGAGGCCTGAGACTGAACTCCATCCTGCTCTGGGTGGCCCTCCAGGCCCCAGCAGACCCAGCTGTGTGTCTGCTCCACCCACCTGCAGGGATGCTGCAGCCCCGTGGGCCTGCTCAGGGCTCCTGGGGTGTGGGGAGCCCCTCCCACCTGCAGCCACGCAGCTGCAGGCTCTTCCATCTGAGGTCACCCTTCTCTGGGCGACCTCAGAGGCTCTTCTCTGGGACACCCCCCTCCTCCAGGTCTCAGAGCCCCCAGGCTGGGTCTCCCTCCACACCACCTGACCGGGCCCCTCGGCCCCTTTTACTTTCCCTATACCACGTACCCCAGTCTGCAATCACGCTGTTATCTGTTTGCTCCTGTGGGCCCTGCCCTGCTCACCGGGGCCAAGACTTTATTCTCTTGCTCACCACCTCCCTCCGGACCCAGAACTCTGGACTCAGGAGAGACTTTCACAAGTATTTGTGGGTTGAGTGATTACCAGGGGAAGGACGTATTTTTTAAAAGATTTTATTTATTTTATTTTTAGAGAAAGAGGAAGGGAAGGAGAAAAAGAGGGTGAAAAACATCAATGTGTGGTTGCCTCTTGCATGCTCCCTACTGGGGACCTGACCCGCAACCCAGGCATGTGCCCTGACTGGGAATTGAACCTGAGCCCCTTTGCTTCGCAGGCTTGCACTCAATCCACTGAGCTATACCAGGCAGGGCTCAGGACATTGGTATTTCCTAAGCAAGTAACACGGGCCAGGGGTCATGTACACATTATGTTACTTAATCCTCACAGCTCTGGGGGCTGTCTATCCAGTTCAGAGATGGGAGCTGGGGCTGGAGGACAAAGGAGGATGTATCCATGACACAGCCACCAAACGGTCAGGACAGAAACCATTAGACCTAAGAGGTCAAACTGGTTCAGCCTGATGCCAAAGTCCACGTTTGTTCTGCTGTGCCTACTGGGGACAGAGAGCAGCAAAAAGTTGCATGGGCGCCTGCAGGGGCGGAAAGGTGCTGGTGTGCGGACAAGAGATCGTTGTGATTGGTTATTTTTAAAATTAGAGAGGGAGGCAGGGAGGGAGGAAGGAGAGAAGGAAGCAAGCAACGAAGGGAGGGAGGGAGGGAGGGAAGGAAACAGTGTGAACAGAAGATAGAAATTTTAGAGCACAGTGAGGTTTTTTTTTAAAGATTAGAATTGTGCATTTTTTTAAATGTTTTACAAGCTTCACGTTATGATTTTCCTCCCCCCCATCTCACCTGCTTCGCACTGCTTCCCTGTCACTGACACCACCCACAGGCCTCCCCCCAGGCTGTGCGCTTAGTTTCCGCTTTTCTTGCTCACAGTGACACGCCCCACAACACATCCACCCGCTCAGCTACCTCCCCGCCTCCATGGACACACAAATGTAAACCATCCGGACCCCCGTCCCCGAGCAGACCGGTCCTGCTTCCCGAGGTCCTAGCTTTGCAACTGTGCGCTCACTTATTACAACCATGCAACCAAGTACCCTGTACCCCCTCTGCCGCCAACACCCCCTCAGGGAGAGTCTGCTGAGCAAAGGCACACGGGATCGTCCCTCCATGTCACCTCCCTCTCACGCACACGCGCACACCCTATTCTTGTGAAGCCACCTCTGAGGTCCCTCCGCCATCATGTCACACTGAGATGGCTGCTACCGCACGGATTCTTCACACAGCCACTGACACACTCTTCCGAATTCCCCTTTGATTACTCCCAGCTAAAAGCAGACTGGTTGTCTATCTTTGTGCCTCGTTGATAAAGGAGCCAGAAGATGGTTGAGCCCGAGGCAGGGCACCACCCTGCTCGAATTACATCTGGAATCTCCGGACTTGGACTTGGCTATAGATCAGAGCCCATGGTGCTTGCCCACAGCCCACCAGAAGCAAGGCGGGCAAACTACAGCTCCGGCTGGTTCCTTTTGTAAAGCGGGCATGGTTTCACAGCGCGGACTAGCGAGTGCAAAACCCAATACCACGATGAAGGCTCAAGAGAACATTAAGAAAAAGAGGGCTGGTGCAACGCCAGTCAAAAAAAAAGTGTTCTGCACTTAAAAGATTTCCAATCTGAGGTCCATTTTTGAAGAATGGGCTGAAATAAATGACTAAGAGAGGTTCCATGGCTTACCTGTTTAAAAATATAACCATGAATACGATGCCTTCGCTTTTTATCCTGATTTCAGAGCTCTTAGAGTCTGCGCCTCAACTTTTTAAATTTTCTGTGTTAAAAATACTGACACTTAACACTGAAACCCATCATCTCTTGGCTCACAAGGCTCCCTCTCACAGTTACTACCTCAGGGTCTCATGAGGGTCACCCATGTCAGACAGAAGGGGCCACTCCCATTTCACACCCGGTGACACCCAGGTTGAGAGACTCATCTGAACCCTTAAGGCTGGTCAGTCAGGGCATCAGGTCCAAAAGCTGGCGTGGCCTCCCTCCATGCTTCCAAAGCTGCCTCGCAGCCTGATCTCCTTTCATCTATTTTGTTCGAGAAGCCTTCGCCCCAGGCCTGGTTCTACTCATACTGTATTGCCTACCCTCATGAACAAAACCCGGATCTTTACTTACTTCAAAAGTCCCAACTTCAAGATCTTCAAATTTCCCTGCAAGTGACATTCCGGCGCAGTTCACCAGCATGTCCACCGGGCCCAGTTTCTCCTGTGCCTGGGAAAGTGGAGCAGAGCGGACAAGGAGAGAGAGAAAGAAGAACTCCTTAGTACAAAGGCGAAGCCAATAAATAAAATCTATGACACCACCAAACCCGCTGGGAAGATTTACCAATTTCGAACCACACAGCGAAATGGTAACAACAACAAAAGACACACAAATTCACTCCAATGAGCCCTGCCTCTTACTTGCTTTATGACATTTTCTACTTGGCTGTAGTCTTGGGAAACGTCGACTGATATACAGAGCACCACCTGTTAGAGAGAGAAGAGAGAGATCAAAGCCACGCAAGTATCGAAACTAGATTTTCAAGTTTGTTTTTTTAAATTAAGGGCAATGTTTTCCAAAAGACAAGGAGTCCAACCCTGGATACACCAACTACATTGTTGCAAATCTGTTGACAACGCAATTAGTGGACTCTGAATTTTCTCCGCATTTTTGTTTTCGTAGAAAACTATTCTGAGCAAACTCCAAAAACATGTTGGCCAGAGGGCACAGACCCCCCAGGTCTAAGCTGAGTGAGTTTGGGGATCTGATGTGCAGTGCGGGGTCTGTCATGATTAATACTGACCTGCTGTATACATGAAATACACTAAGAGAGTGGATCTTAACTGTTCCTGCCACACACACACACACACACACACAGCTATGCGAGGTGCTGGGTGTGTTAAACAGAACTGACTGCGGTAATCATGTTACAATATGAACATGTATTAAATCATCATGTCGGACACTTGAAGTACATATCATTATTATTTGTCAATTACACCTCACTAAGGCTGGAAGTAAGAAAAAATATAAAAATGCTCCACTGTGCCACTAATCTAAATGAGAGAAGGCAGGTGCACCCCCACCTCGGCCAGGAGGGGAGGTGGGAACAGCCTGTAAAAACATGTTGGCCAGAGGGCACAGACCCCCCAGGTCTAAGCTGAGTGAGTTTGGGGATGTGATGTGCAGTGCGGGGTCTGTCATGATTAATACTGACCTGCTGGTCAGTATTAACACTGGCCCTAGAGGGCCAGCTCTAGGGGGCGCTGGGGATGCTCTGAGTCTGGAAGTCGGTGGTGGTTTCACAAGTGTACGCGTCTTTAAATGGGTGTGGCTCATCGCATATAATTTCTATCTCAAGTTGCTATTTAAAAGAATACGTAAATTACACAAAGAATACATAAACTGTACATAAATTATGTAGCTCAGGCGGTTCATATCTGAACTTGTTAAAAGAGTTACAAAACTGGGAGTCGGGACTATAAAATTATTTTTTAAACAAGCTGTTTTATGCAGGGTTAGATAATTTTCTGTGAATAAAAACTGTACCGCCGACAAGTGAAATTTCACACAAAAAAGGAAGTGCTAAGATATTACCAGGAAAAAAACTCCCACAGGTGCTGTTTACGCTAAGTGTGCGACAAGTCCCTTCTGGACCCTGCGGGAGGTCAAGCTCTCTCTTGCCCACCCAGCCCTGATACGTCCCCTCGCTGTTGTGGCGGTGTCAGGAGCTGGCCCCAGGTGTACCCAGGACCTAAGCCTCTGACTGACGGGTGAGGACGGGGCAGGAGTAAGGATGAAGAGTGGAGCAGAGAGACCGCCTGGTGGTGGCAGGCAGGACTGGAGCACTCGGGCTCCATGGTTTTAGATGCTATCTCCTTCTCCCTCAGAAGTCGCATGAATAGGAGGGGAAAAAATGGGGAGAAAACAGGGAGGCTGGCTGAGCTGGAAGATATCCGAATCCAGAGAAAAACTCACGGATACACACAAGGACACAGGGGGCGAGGATTTCTACCCGCAGCAAAGAAATGCAATAATAGCACAAACACAGAAATGCCAGCCGCCCAACAAGAGAGGACTGATGAAATAAACTCTGGGGTACCCGAGAGTTTGCCACAGCAGAATGAGAAAGTGAGACAGGTTAATTCTTACCAACATGAAAGATCTCCACTATGTTCTGGTGGGAAACAGAGACAATGAAATACCACGTGCGGCCCATCAAAAAGGGAACGACCAGAAGTCAGACAAGACCAAGTGTTGGCGAGGATGTGGGGCGGCAGAAACCGGCAGCCACACGGGAGGGAGTGGAGCCACTCTGCTGGAGCCGAAGACATGCTTACACGCTCAGCCAGACAATTCCATCTCCGGGTAACCTCCATTCTTGCCGACGCACACAGAGGGCCAAGCTTCAGTCACAACAAGAAACAAAGCCAACGACAAAACCGGACACAACCTAAACTGGTACCAACTGTACAACTAACGAACAAAAGGCAGTCTATACATAGGACAGGATACCATGTAGCAGTTAAAAGAGAGTGAGCTTTATGTGGCAACACAGGAATTTTTAAAATAGTGTCGGGTGGAGAAATCAAGTTGCGAGAGAATCAAAGAAAGATGCCATACAAATCTACTGAGAAAGAAAGTGGACCAGTGGCCGGTTGGGGCTGGGAGGGCTTGGGAAGAATGGGGGTGACTGCTAACAGGTGTGCACTTTCTTTACGGGACTGTGCAAAAGTTCTTAAACTGATGGCTGTGCAGCTCTGTGGATAAACTATCTTAAACCATTGAATAGTACACACCTTAAATCCGGGAATTGTATGCCAGGCAGATAATATCTCGATAAACCGTTCCATAAAAATGATGCCATTAAGTTCAAAGAGAAGCAGCGCACTATTAAAGGTCAAACATTTATGGTCAAATTAGAGAAAAGCAAAAATAGAGAAAAGCAAAAAGAGGATCAACACAAAAATCAGGGTGGGGGTCCCTCTAGGGGTGACTGACACACAGTCAGAGCTGATGGGGGCTCGCAGAGGGGCTTCGGGGCCCTGGCCAATTCTGTTTCTAAGCCGGGCGATGCGTGTAATAACAAATTATGTGTTGTACCAATGTGTGTAGAGATATATAACATTTCATCTATCAGACAAATCCATAACCCAAAAGTGTTCTTAAAGGCCCCCTTTTCCTTAAGTGTGGCTCTAAAGTGGATCTAAATAAAGCGAAATAAATTCCCTTTCTAGTAAAGCGTCTGTTGTCAGATCATCCGTGTGCCTCAGAGTCTGTGTTTTTAGTCATAACCTGAAGTTTCAGACAATTCACACAATTTCAACTTTTTAAAAACAGCGTCACAGGTACATTACAATCAGGCAAATCTTGTATCTTTTAACAAACGATTCAGAGTTGAAGTCACCCTTCTTTTCCTTTGTGCGACTATGTTGATTCATACAGAAAAGGCATCACGAGGACAGTGGCCTTACCTGTTTATCATTAATAGAGTGCTTTTCAATTTCTTTCTTTGCCCGCAGCAGCCTGTCCTGAAAGCAAGAGAGAACAGTTAGTTCTGGCGACCGGCCCTGCATCTGCCGGCCTGTTCGAAAGGACAGCAACAGCAGTGGTCGGTGTCTGCACTGAATTCTGGGAAACACAGAAGCCAGCACCTACGTCACACAGCAACGGGCCAGTCTCTGTCGGAGAAGCTACAGAGTGTGTTCCGTCAGGGCTTCGTGACTGCAGGTCTTTAAGATCACGGCACGGGAAGGTAACGGGAAAATAAATGAGCTGCAGACTCCCAATCAGCAGTATTAATTGCTGATGGTCACCCTATCGGGTCTAATCGATGGTTTGATCTGAGATTTTTTAGTTGATGTAAGATAGGAACGACCCTATGGATATGCGATTAGAGTGCATGGGATTCCATGCCAAGGGACGGCCCAGTATGTTCCTCCTCTGCTCCCAAAGTGAGTCACCTTCTAGATGGACTGGGCGAATCTGGGCCTGGCTAGTCTCGAAGACGCTCTTCAGACAAGCAAAGCTACCCAGGTAGCAGCCTCAATTTCACTTGTTTCATGCACTTTCAAGGAGACAAATGTCAACCTACAGTGTCTTAATTTGCTCTACGAAAGCTGTAGTTCAAGTACATCATGACAGCAGAAATGCGCAAAAAGGAAGGCAATTCTCCGGAGACACACAGACGCATTCTACACGTGAATGGGTCTAGGACAAAATAACACTGTTCTACTAATAAAGACAGACACCACTCGACTTCGCCAAAATCAGAGTGAAAAAAAATCACAGGAGAAAGTAAAGGACTTCTCGATATCAGAGGCGTGGGGTCTTTCACCTCCAGCCGCTCCCAGGACCCCACATGGGCCTCTGAGCACCCAAAACACCGGGCCTCCCACCTCCTGTCCACCTGCCTCGTGCCCAGTATGGGCATTGTTTCGACCTCACAAAATGCCTCTCTATGAAAGCTGTGTTTCCATTCCCATGAGGTGGTATCAGAGCAAAACAAACTCACTGTGAGAGAGGTCAGCGTATAAATAAAGGTCGCTAATTCTGCCTTTCTTGATTTGAAAAAGAAAATGTGGATGTCCCAGCTGAATTCGGTATCCTCATTTAAACGTCTGCACCCCATGGCCAGCCGTGCCCACAGAGCCTCGCTCGCCTGTGATCCTACTCCTGCCCTCCCTTTGCATGGGGGGCACCGGGGTCCCCAAGCACCGAGGCCACGCTGCGTTGCCATTCCCTCCATCGCCCCCCTTCACGTCCTCATTCAGCAGAGACGTCGGAGCACAGAACAACAGCAGTGGACAGTACAGCCCGGGTCACTTCCCCCACCCCATGGAGCAAGAGGACTCTGCCAGAGACCCTGTGAATGCAGGGATGTGGAAGCAACTTTGGAAAGAACAACAGACCCCAAATAAAAAGAATGGCAGAGCTTGTGTAAACTAAACACAGAAAAACACTCATTATTCTGCTACTCTGCTGGGAGGGGTGAGATTCCTCTGGCGTGTGGGCTTCCCTGCATCCGGTCCTGAGCTCGTCCTCCAGGACTCAGTATCGGCTCCATCAGCACCTCCACCAGCACCTCCCACCTCCCACCTCCAGTGGGTGGGAGGGCTCTCCAGAGCCGCCTCCTTCCAGCAGGGTGAGCTACTCAACTTCCTCTTGGCCTCTCCTGTTTCGAGATCACCAGCTTCTACGGGCTCCCTACAGGTTGCTGGCTCTACATAAACACTAGTGGAGCTGATCTGTCTTCAGCCAAGCCATTGTCCTGAACAGCAGAAACAACCAGTGGTTCGGGAACGCCACCTCCACCCAGATTCCCAGTGCGGGTGTCAAGCCAGGCCCTTTGTGCAGCCTCTCGGACAGACAGGGCCGACTCACCTCGTTGCGGGCAACCAGAGTTATGAACGCTCCCTGTTTGTAGCACTCGATGGCGATACACTTTCCAATGCCGCTGGAGCCTCCAGTGACCTAGAAGCAAAGATACGAAAAGGCTCCTGAGCACCTGGCATCACCCTTCTGAGGGAAGTGTACTTAACATGATTATCACGGGCTCTAAAACCAATATAAAAAGCAGGTGAGCCCTGGCTGGTGTGGCTCCGTGGTTGAGCGCCAGCCTGAGAACCAAAGGGTCACAGGTTCGATTCCTAGTCAGGGCACATGCCTGGGTTGCAGGCCAGGTCCCCAGTAGGGGGTGCGCAAGAGACAACCACACATTGATGTTCCTCTCCCTCTCTTTCTCTCTCCCTACATTGATGTTAAAAAAAAAAAGTAGTTCTGTAGCTACTGTCACTTCTCCATCCCAGAGTGGGACGACTGTGCCATCCACAGGCCCTGCTACAGTCTGTCGCTGTCCCTGGCGCTGAGCTATACACGGCACATCTACAGTACGTTCCTCAGTTCACTGGAGGGAAAGTGGTGCCCTTTAGGTCTAGCTAATTAATAATACATTAGTCCTAGCGCTCATCAATAGGCAAGTGGATAAAGCTGTAGTGCACATCTGCAATGGAACATCACTCAGCCTTAAAAAAGGAGGAAATCTTCCCATTTGCAACAGCATAGATGGACCTTGATGATGTTATGCTCAGTGAAATATCAGTGAAATAAGCCAGTCAGAGAAAGGCAAATACAATAAGATTTCACTCATATGTGGAATCTGGGCTGTGTCATTCCGAAAGCTACAAGCAAACAGATTTTCATAATGGCTTAGAAAAATGGTAAATAAGTATGGAGTTGCCTGACCCTTGGTAAACTGAGTCCAGATGTGGGACACTACAGATGAACTTCCTTCCCCTGTCATTGCCTCCTACTACTCACTGGAAATACTGTGTAAAGGGGACCAGCTCTTTCATTACAACCTACACCTTTTACTGAGGGCAAAAGGCAGGGAGTGTGGCTGCCAGCCATCTTCAAAAAAGGAGAACTTGATTTTCCAGTACTCAAGTCAACTAAAGAGCGTTTTAAAAACCAGCTGACTTCAATGAGTACCTACCCTGTAACACGTCCACAAGGTAGCAGTTAGGGCGATAACAGAAACAAACCACGTACACAGCCGTTCTGAACCTCAGCTGCGTCTCCTACCATGGCCTGGTCTGGTCCTAACAAATCTCAAGAAAAATGATCACAGTCATTCCTCCTATGACGTTAACGAAGAGGGCAGGTATTGACATCACGTGAATCATCCCCGTCATCCTCGAATTATTTATAAGGGCATCTGAAAACTAGATGGCGAAAATAAGAAACCCCCTGGTCTATTCCAGGCAGTGTGCAGCCTGATGGGGCCGGAAAGGCCAGAGTCAAGGTTAAGTGAAACTCCCAATCAACAACTGACTCAAAATTCTCATCACTGCTTCTGGCATTACCTTTTACCAAGTTACACTCTGCAAACATAACATGTGAAAGAAGCCAACTTTTAAAGCCCTGCTTTTGTGGCAGAAGTTGTCCTGTGTGGGGACGGGCCACCTTCCGGAGTCAGCGTGACTGTAGCGTTTTGCTCCTCTTTCTTGCTTGTCCAGATTTCAAGCACATTAGAAGGACTAACTGTCCTGTCCTATCACAGCCTTGTGGGGACACTCGAGTGTGTCACCTCAGGTACCAGGAGGATTAGTGCCACCAGCTTAGTAACGAACTGTCCTTACTCATAACCTCGGGCCTCAGTGTGCCTCGAGGTGGGGGCATTCAAAGCCACCGCCAACAGAGAGGTGCTGGGCGCAGGTAGGGAGGCGTTCTGGCTCCATTCAAGACAGGTGGCTACACCTGCAGAAAGGGGACCTTTGAAGACGTGATCCTCCAGCAAGAAACAAAGCAAGCCTAGGCACATCCCCTTCATTCCTGAAGCACCTGCCAGGTGGCCGAGCTCATCTCTCTGACTCTGAAACGAGGGCACAGGACCGCCCTTGGGACCCCAGGCTGAGCTCGGAGACAGATGAGCAGTGTAGACCGGGGAGAAGCGTCCCAACGCCTCCATCCAGCCAGGGCTCCGGGCCCACTAGCCTCAGACCAATTTCCCCGTGAGTCACTCCCCAGATGCCTTTGGCAACAGATATGTCACTCCCACCAGCCATCTCCCAGCTGGGAGCCGCCTCGGCCGGTCCCGGTGGCTGGGACTCTGGTCCCCGCCTCATCGCCCCGCGCCGTCACCGACCGGTGTCCTTGACAAAGTTTCTCAGCCTCTCTGTTCCTCAGGTGACTCATCGGGAAGACTGAGGACAAAAACAGCCACCACCCAGGGATGCGCCTGGGATTGGCGAGCGGCTCGCGAGCCCCCAGAGCTCCCGCCGGGAGGAGCCAGCCGCCGCGGAGGGCAGGACGGGTCCCCGAGGCCCTCCGCGGCGACAGTGCCGGGGTGCACGGCGGCAGGCGACCCTCGTTTGGAGAAGGGGCGGTGGCGGCCCGGCGACCAGGGGGCAGGCTCGGGGCGGCCGAGCTGGCCGCGGCTGGGGCGCGCGCACCGGGAGCCACTCACCACCACATGCGCCCCGGGCAGCGCGAGGGGCTTGGGGCTGATGAGCGGGGACAGCATGTACAGCAGCAGCACGAACGCCACGACGCAGGTGGCCACGAGCAGCAGCATCGCTCGGCGGGCCTGGCCGGGGCCTGGGACTGGGGGCCGGCGGCGCAGGCGATCACGCGCGGCCGCGCAGCAGGAGCCGGTGTTTGGGTTCCGGGCGGGGCGGTGGCCGAGGGGAAGAGGCGGAGCCGGCGGAGGGCGCGGCCGCCGCGGGGCGGCGCCACCCGCGGGGACGCGGGACCCGATCTCAACGCCCCCGCGGTTCGGCGGGCCCTGCAGCCTCCCCTCGGGCCCCCAGTCCGCCCCCGGCGGCGCCACCGAGAGCGCCCCTGCGTGGGCGCGGGGACACGGCTGGTTTGCGTCGCGGGCGCGTCTTAGGACCGCGGAGAGCGGGTTTCCGGACCCTCCGACCGCACGTCGGGGCGTTGGGCCCGGTCCGGTCGGGCGGTTCCGCCGAGTCCCCGAGTGTCGCCGAACCCCCGGGCCCGCCTGCCCGGCAGGAGCTTGTGCGGAACGATCTGGCCTCGGGCTGTGCGGCCACCGGACCGCGCCGGTGCCTGGAAGGCCTGGCATCGAAACGAAACCTCGGCCTCCATTTCATAGTTTCTGGGAGTAAACCGGCGCTCCTCCGAGGAACGGGAAAACCTGGACAAGGCGTTTCCAAAATCACTCAGATAATTCGGTGTCGTTGAACAGAGTTGTTTTGTTTTAGCTAAGGCAGGATTTAAATTGAAAAGAGAAAAAGCTTGAGATCTAATTTGCACCCTGATTTAAAGTGCACGGTAAATGGCCTTGAGTACACTTAAGAGTTGAGCAGCGCCCGCCATAATTTTAGAACATTTCATCACACCCCCCCTTCCCCGCAAAATCCTGTCCCCATCGGCAGTCCCTATCTATTACCTCGCAGCCCTAAGGCGGCCGCCTCCCTTTGTCTCTGCAGGTTTGCTTATTCTGGGTATTTCCTGTGAGTGCAATCACACAGGCTGCAGCCTGCTGGGTCTGCCTTCTTTCAGTCACTCAGGGCTCATCCATGTTGTACAGGTACCAGTAGTCATTGATTCAAAAAATTTTTTTATTTTAGAGGAAGGAGGAGAAAGACATTGATTTGTTGTCCCACTTATGTATGCATTCATTGGTTGATTCTCCGACGTGCCCTGACTGGGCCTCAACCTTGGTGTGTGGGGAAGATGCTAACCAATGAGCTACCCGGCCAGGGGAGCACTGTTGCTTTTAATCAACCAATGAGATTCCACTGGGTGGATACACCACATTTCATTTATCCAATCACTAGCTGCTGGGCATTTAGGCTGTTTCCACTTTGGGGCTTTCATAAGTAATGCCTCTGGGAACGGTCACGTACAAGTTTTTGTGGGGATGTATGTTTTCCTTTATTTTGGGTTTAGACCCTGGATCTTGTGGCCAGAGAAGGGGTTCTGCGGCAAGTAACCTCACCTGGTGATCTGGTCATGAATTCCTAAGTGGGCAGAAGTCACCCACAGGAACTTCTGTAGAAAAAGGCTTACCTTGGCTTTAAGTAAACTCTTTCTTGTTTCTGTGCACCCAGGTTTACACACCTTTGAAATGACCTCGTTAGACCCTCCTTGTAAAGTGTGACCTCGAGAGAACGCATAATCTTATCAACGATCCTGTAACCCAATCCCCACATTGCTTTCTCCCACTTTCAGGTAATCTTCCTTCCTTCCCTCTTTAATTCCAAACGCACACAGCAGCTGCACATGGTCATGTCTTGGAATCTCAGTGTGTCGAGATCTTGCTTCCAGGCTTACCCTCAAATAGATTTTTGTAATAACCATTGTCTACAGGTTGGACCTGATGCGGACAATCTCATGGTAACTGTGTTTCACCAGAACCACCAGACTGGTATCCAAAGCAGCTGTGCCGTTTTCCATTCCCACCGACGATGCCCTAGAATCCCCGTTGCCCAATATCCTCAGTGACACTCAATCATTTGGTTTTTAATTATTGCCTCCCTAGTGGGTGTGAAGGGACATTTCATTGTGATTTGGACTTGCATAAGGCACACATTTTTGTTTACCTGCTTTTCCTTTTTTTTTTTTTTTTAGAAATACTAAGGAGCAAGGGTTCTGAGTTTCTCTTCTTCACTAATTTATTGCCCAGAGTTAGCCAAACTGCAAGGTTTGAGGACACAGGCCCCGAGACTTCTGACACCAGTTTGAAGGGTGAGGGGTTCCCAAACCACCCTCTGTGTTGATGAGTCTCTACGAGGACACGCTGCACTCACTGAGAATTGTTATACTCATGGCTATGGCTTATGGCAAAATCAGCTACAGAAAAAAGTGAATGGGGTGAAATCTGCAGGGCTGTGAAAGCAAAGCTTCGGCACCTCGCGTGGAGTGGGGGCGTTGTGACCATCCCGTTACCGGTGTGTGACACTGTGCATGGAGCCTCGCCAACCAGGGGCGCTCATCTGGTGTCCAGAAGTTCTTATTAGGTAAAACCTCTTTATGATGGGGCTTTATTATGTAGGTGCGATTGACTGCCCACCTGGCTGAACTGGGTCTCTAGGGCAACTTATAATACAAGATACTAAGCTTCCACTACACCTACTTTGTCCTTCTGTCCGTGCCAGACCTCATCCAAACAAAGACACCTCTGTCAGATGACACAAATTACCTCCCAGAAGCCAAAGACAAAGGCCAGCCCTCACTGGTGCGGTTCAGGGGATTGGGTGTTGGCCTGGGAACTGAAAGGTCACAGTTCAATTCCCAGTCAGGGCGCATGCCTGGGTTGTGGGCCAGGCCCTCACTTGGGGGCGTGGGAAAGGCAACGGACTGATGTATCACTGAGGTTTCTCTCCCTCTTTGCCTTCCCTCCTCCTTCTCTCTAAAAATGAACACGTAAATCTTCACAAAGGCCAGGAGTTCTCTTTGGGCCAGATTCTTGACTCACAGGCCACTTACTACCTCGTCTTGATTCCAAGCTCTCCTACAGTTAAGCAGACGCCTCATTTGGGGAGGAGGCTCTTCACTCAATTTCCCTCCAGAAATTTGACCATTGACATCAGCACTGCAATCTCACTAGGAAGACAATGACAGTGCTCCACCTATCAGTCCATCAGCTCAAAACACAGAAAACGGAGGCGATACAGAGAACAGTATAGTTGCGAGAACTATGTAGTCATACCAGCATCCTTCTCCTCCAAGTCCCCCCAAAAGGTAGAGGAATCTACCTAGTGGGAGCCCGCCCTTGGCCCCCCTACCGCTGACTCTGCCCTTGGCCCCCCTGCCTTGCTGAGCGCACACTCAGCAAGGCATGTACATCAGCCCTTCCTGCCTTTATCTTCCCCTGTGCTTCCCACCACCTGTTTCAACTCTCCATTGGGCCTTTGCTCTGAGGATGATTTGCAACACATTGTGTCCATTTGATGTGGTATCTCTGTGAGCACGGTCAGAGATCATGGGCTGTAAAATATGCTCCTAGGTCTGAAGAAGCATCATTCGGAGGTCCAAATTGGTGCAGTATCTTCTGACTTAGTCCTTTAATAGTGCTGGGATGGCCAGAAAGTTCACTTGCTTTCTCCTGTAAGAAGGCTCTAATAGTGCTTAGTTGTCTTTAATTTGAAACAACTTTGCTAGATTGTATTGGATAGCTGCCCTAATCAGCATGCATTTAAAAAAAAAAACTTCATCAAAATCGATGAGCTTTTGTGTAGCCATTTTAATATTGAAGATGGAAGAAGATATGCAACATTTTTGGCATATTATGCTTTATTATTTCAAGGAAGGTAGAAATGTGTCAAAAGTGGTCTGCAAAGTTTCGTGCTGAGATTTCTCAACGGATGATGCTCCATGGCCAAGACCGGCTGAGGTTGACAGCGACCAAATTGAGACACTGAGAACAATCGTTACACCACACAGAATACAGTCAACTGACGCGAAATATCCAAGTCCATAAAGTTACAGGTAAACATCAAATGTGGCATTTTATGAAAAAAACTTAAACGGAATTTTTGGCCAACCCAATATTTTGAGCGTTGCATCAACCTCTGAGTGGGCCAAGCCCAGCCCTGAGTCTGGCCACTCCGTCAAGACCCATCTGTAACCTCCCAGGGCTGACCGCATCTGTCCACAGCCAGCATCTGTCTACAGCCAGTGTCTGTCCCCAGCCACTTGTGTCACTCCCCTCAGGGGGGGACTGCCCCGCAGCCATGGGCAGCCTCTGTCGGTCTTGTTGGCTTTCTGTGCCGCAGAGGGGAGAACTGCGTCAAGATTCGCGTCATCTCTGCGTTGCTGCGGCCCCCACATCCTCTCACTCTGCGGATCCAGGTGGCTCAAGTGAGCACACCAAGGTACGCACGTGCTGGTTCCAACTGCCTTCTGATCGCAGGAGGTTCTTCTGATGACAAGCGACAAGCCCTCCTTTAATGTGCCCTTGAGTTTCCATAATGACTTCCCGAGTCCCCTACATCTGTCCCCTGAACGGCCAACTTTCCAACACCCTTCTACCTGACCATGTGGCCAGGCCATTGCCAGTGCCAGGAGCTGGTTCTGCACCCAAACACAGGAATGACAGTATGTAATTCGACCACTTGAGCCACTTTTTACCTTCTTCAGTCAGAGTGACAGCCTTCCCGACAAGGACACTGTCCATTCACCTTGAAACTGGCATCCAGAAACCAAGTGGCTCTTCTTCTGGACAAGAGACCTGTGCCCAGGACACCGCCCAAGTGGCCCAAGTGGCCCAAGTGGCTCCAGGTCCCGCAGCTCCTCAGGTGGGGTCCAAAGTCAGCCCCGAGTCTGTCTGCTGCAAACACAGGTCACCTGTTTGCATTTCCTGGTGGCAGGTTCCTGCAAAACCAGTTCCCTTTCCCTGTGAACTGTTCTGGGCACCACCTTCCCCAGTGGGGAGTTTCTCTAGCATCACCAGACACCATCTATCTGCTATTGTCTGTCTGGAGGACCCTGACTAATGCAGAAGAGATCACGGGCTTACACACATAACTATGAAACCTTTAGAAAACACACTGGATTTTAAAAGAATGAGGACTTTGGTCAGTCAGGGGGAGAGAAAATCGGGTCACTTATTTGAGAAATCAGGCTGGTTTCAGATTTCTCCACAGTAACATTGCCCATGAGAATGGCGAGATTCTCCAGGAAAGAAAGTTGAGCTGAGGTCTTATGTCCAGCTAATCTGTTTTTCACCCATTGAACAGGTAATAATTAAGGAAATGCTTTCCCCACAAGTGCTTGTCGAGGAAAGTATTAAGGCTATCTGTTGTCTTAGTCTGTTTGGGCGGCTGGAACACAATACTACAGACCAGACCGGTGACTGGTAACAGAAATCTGCTCCTCACTGTTCCGGAGGCTGGGAAGCCCGACATCACAGTGCTGGCGGGTGGGAGCCGCCGAGAGGAGGCAGTTTCCAAAGTGGGAAACAGCTCTCACCAGACAGGAGAGCTGCCGGCACCTGGATCGAGGACTTTCAGACTCTGGAACTCTGAGAAATGAATTTCTGTTGTCCAAGCCACCCAGCCTGTGGCCTTTTGTTACGGCTGTCCCGGCTGACATGCCATTAAACGACTCCAACTTTGCCCTGGCTGGTGTGGCTCCGTGGATTGATGCTGGCCTATGAACCAAAAGGCCACCGCTTCGAGTCCTGGTCAGGGCATGTACCTGGACTGCGGGCAGGGTCTGCAGCTGGGGGTGTTCAAGGGGCAACCAGCTGAGACGTCTCTCACATATCGATGTTCCTCTCCCTCCTTCTTCCTCCGTTCCCCTTCTCTCTTAACAGGTCACCCTCTGGGGCAAGTGTGGAAGGCAACTAATCCCTGTTTCTCTCTCCCATCTGTTTCTTGTCCTCTTTTCCTCTATCCCGCCCCCCCAAATGAAAAGTAAAATAAAATATAAAAAAATGAAGATTTTAAATAATTTCGATTTGTTACAAACGTTATGGAACCCACACGTTCTATCACTTCACGAAGCCTGTTTTCAGAGCAGGGAGGAAGCAGCGCACCGGCTGACATTCTGGACAAGCTCCCTCCCCATCAGAGCACCTGGCCCCGCTACGGCGGCGGCCCTGTGAGAACACGTCCCTACGGAAACTGAAACAAGAAGCCACGTTTGCCCTGGCTCGGTGGCTCAGCTGGTTAGAGTGTCGTCCCATACACCAAAAAGTCACAGGTTCAATTCCCAGTCGGGGTGTTTACGGGAGGCAACCAATCAGTGTTTCTCTTTCTCTCCCCCCATCCTTTCCTCTCTATCTGGAATCAGTGAAGATACCCTCAGGTGAGGGGAAAAAATAGTACTCCACATTAATCATCCAATAATCTAATATATCAAATGTACTCATTCTGTTTTTCTGCATGCAGACGACACGGAACTCAAATGTTCATGGCACATTGAGACATTTCATAATTAAGATCCATACAGTTTTCAGGCTGAGACAAAAAATGTTCTTCGACCTCCAGGGTATGGCTCATAAAGATGCTCCTCAAGTAGGGTTTACCTGCTGGCTCTGGGAACGACTGTCCGAAATTTCGTAAAGTTCAAGACAAGCACAGCCCGGCCACTCGGTCTCCTCTGATTACCCGTCCGCTCAGGGCACACGGACATGGCCTGTGTCTTACTAGAGTAAGTCTAAACCACTAGATCCCAGGTGCACTTTTAGAACCGGAAACGCAGAAATGGAGCCATGGCCAGAAGTGACACAAATGCCGAGACACAGTTCTCCAGGCACGTGTAAGAATTAAGTGTGACAAATTACCCACTGATCATCAACACTCAACTTACATACTATTTGCTTATGTGCTTGATCGATTTAAGTAAAATACTTCCTCAAAACAAATTCTGGGTTCACAAAAACTTCTGGATTTCAACTACTATATAATTAATATAGCTATGTTAAGTCCCTTAATGATACGATAGCAATATTATATAATTCTGAGTCTGATAAAGTATACCTATTATAAGACACCCATAAACAATTCAGCATTGGTCTGCCAAGTTAATTCTCAATCCTCACATAAAAGTTGTTGAAAATAGGATCTTCACACATACATTCCTAATAATTTAAAAGTATTTTTGGTATCTAATCAATGTAGATAATAGTGTTTTCTCCCATACAGAAGACCCCAAAATAAAGACGCATACACAGAATACAGATAACACTAGGTTCTACCAATTTACTTCACTTAGGAACAACATGTTTTAGGCCTACGATTTCCATTTCATTATCAACAGAAACAATCTGTACAGAACACCCCAAGGCAACCACACAGAATGTGCAAATATATTTTAAAATGCAAGTCATTCCACAGTATTTGCAAGGTAGAGCTTTACAATAATTAAGGAGTCTACCTTATTCTCGCTAAATCAATACTCTTTTGCACTTATAGCCAATGCAGATACACAAGGCACGACTTAGTGTTGGTGCTAAAGCAGGTAATGCAGACCCTCAGAATTTATTTGAAAACATGAAAACAACATAGTGTCATGTTTGCAACTGACTACTGAATGAGGCATCACCTCCTTTCTAAAGCGTCACGAAGCATCACACTGGTGACATGTACGTGTGGCCAGGACACACTGTCTCCTGAACTTAAAAAACAAAGACCCTTGCTACCTTATTTTAAAAAAATCATATATATGTATGTACACAGATAAACCCACATCACACACAGGACACGTCCCATAATCCAGCGAAAGGCCACTCCTTTTAGCAAAGCTCCCCATTACAGTATCTTACGTCAGGGTTAATTAAAAGGGACCTACTTATTTGCTACTGGGTTAGGTCAATCTTGCTACAAAAAGACACATTTGAAAGGACAATTTTTTCCTTCAAGATAAAGACAATGCCTAATTTAGAAAGGCTTTCTCTTGAGATTGCACAGTGAAAGGTATTATTTAGTTAAATATAAAAGCCTGCAGCTTTTAAGGAAATTGTTTAAATCTACAACCTGCTGAAAATAGCAACAAGAGCCTCGGTTGGAACACAATTCAAAACCTCTCCAGCTCCATCACAGTGCTCCTTGCTCTTTGATTACCCGTCCCTGAGAGTAAACACTTTGTCATTTTTAATTACGTAAATAAATTGACATTGATGAAAATGATGAAGACTTTTTAAAAAACATGAAACAAGCCCCAATTCATTTTAGTAAAAAAAAAAAGATAAATGTTCTTTAAAAGACCACTAGTCATAGCAATTTTAAATACTTGTATCTCAATTAACTTTAATCCTCTTTTTACTGGGTAATTTCTATTTTTGCCATTCGTGTATCAGTTATTTCCTCAGAATCAATTATTTTATCATTTTTGTTAAAAAGAGCATTTAGTTGGTAACAGCAAACACACACACGGGTCAGAGGGACACTGAAGTGACCCCTGCTCTCCCTGTGGCTGCGTGTGTCACTGAGACCGTCCGGCCACCCCCGGGAGGGGCAGGGAGGCCCCCATGAGAAAGGGCAGGCACAGCAGTACACGTCGCCTCCGTCGTCTCTGGTTTAGCCTTCTTGGCCAAAGTCTTCTGAAAACTTCTTTAACTTCAACAAGTCGTGTTCATTGACTGTGGGTTTGGTGCTGGACAGTGACCGCAACATGTCCGTCTGTCAGAAAGAAAGGGGGTTCAGTCCTGGATCCGATCTCGCGTCATCATCGCTTCAGCACCGGCTGCCGACAGCGACGCCTACTCCCCTGCAGGGCAGCTCCTGTCCCCTCAGCAGCCGGACCGAGACCCCCTCCGCGCGGCCCCCCATCCCCTCCCTGGCCTTCCCCGTTGTTTTCCTGAACAAGAGCGGGGTTGCCAGGCGCGACTCCAAAGGAATACAGTCACTCACTTACACTTACGTGGAACAGACTGTTATTTGAGGAAACTCGACCAATCAGAATTTTAAACTATTAGTCACAATTAAAATACAAATGGCAAGATAATAGGCTAATATTTGGTATTTGTTAAAAGATTAAGTTCTGGGCCCTGGCTGGTGTAGCTCAGTGGATTGTGCACCAGCTGCGAACCAAAGGGTTGCCGGTTCGATTCCCAGCCAGGGCACATGCCCTGGGTTGCAGGCCAGGTCCCCAGTGGGGACCAGATGAGAGGGAACCACACACTGATATTTTTCTCCCTCTCTTTCTTCCTCTCTTCCCCTCTCTCTAAAATAAAACAAATAAAATCTTAAAAAAAGAATTAAGTTCTAGGTTATGGCTGTTTCCTGTAAAAAAGTATGGAAATAGTCA